TGACTAGGTTTGACCCAAAAAATTCACGGGTTGTTTAGAAATCGAGAATAGAAATCCGTTTAGAAATCTAGGGTAGAAATCTGTTTGAAATCTAAAATAGAAATCAATTTGGACTGTCTCTAGTCATAAGGGCCTAATAATGATCAAACCAACCCTGTTTCCAATTGTTGTCCCATTTGTTTCAACTCTGCTTTGAGGGCATCAATTTGTTTGCTGTTTGCTTCATCAAAGCTAAGATTCTGAAAACGATTTTAACTCTAACTTTTAACAATTTTAACTGAAAGTTCTTATCAAATTCAGTTTTGTGATCTTTTTCTCGAAAACATACTTCTCATTTTGCGCCGCTTGAATCTCTGAGAGTCGCAAAGCGGAGATTTCTTTGGCGAGTGTTGAAATTTTCTGTTCTCTAAATTTGAAATTAAAAATCATTAAGAAAATGATAAACATTTCGCTTTTCTCAGCCTCGAATCCCATTTTCTCTTCTCGAACTCTTCTTGCAAACTAGTTGATAGAGAAAGTCTAAAAATTTTATTCAAAACCTTGACTTATAGAGTTTAAGTAGACTCATAGGACTTATAAGACTTGCCTTAAAAGTTTAATTGTTCAATAGAAGCGGCAAAGAAAAAGAAAACCCACAATTTCTCATGTTCATCCCTTTTGATCGACAAATCCTTGTCCAAGCTTTCCAGCTTATCATGCGCCTCTTTTGATTGTTGTTGCACGCTGAAATGGAGTTAATTTAAATTAGCAGAACTACCAAAACTGCAAAACTCACACCCTTGATGAAGTGACTTCTCGTTTTGAAGATCTGTTCGCAAAGCCAGAGTATCTTTCTCCAAATTCACCCCGGCTGCAACGAGCTGATCTTTTGTGCTGGAGAGCTCTAGCGTGAAGTCCAACATGGTCAGCGTGACTATAAATTGTTATCAATTGATTCGATTAAATGAATCAGGAGGAAGTTTTTAGCAAGGGGCAAATCGAGATCACCTCTCTAACCATAGACTAAAAGATAAACTAAAAGTTGGTTTCCAAATTTATCTAAAAGTTTAGATTAAGTTTCATTTGGTTAGTAACAATTAAACGTCGGTGTTCCAATTGGTAAACTCAATAAAATGGACATCTCCTGTCGATTCATCGACCCCGAAAACCCAGGGTACAAATATATATCATCATAAGCTCGGGATTCGGTTTTCTATCGAGATGAGCTGGGAATCTTGTTTCCCAATCACACATTAGGCTTTGCAAATTACTCAGAACTTTGCGTGTTCCTCACTCTTCACATCATGCTCACTTCTCCAAAGTTGTCAATCTCATCTGAGTCTCTTCCAAAGCTTTTTGCATTCTGTATTCCATTTTTGGTATTCAAAATGGCTCTAAAACCGACCTTTCCACTGTAGATTGATGATCCTGCTTCAACATGGTCATCTGTTCCATAGTCAATTTTAACTCACTGGTAATCTGAAGAGTATTTACAATTGGATAATCCTTTAATCCATATTAAACCTTTTCTCGATCTGCTTCAATTTGCATCTTTCTTCACTCATGTAACCGAGAGCTTTTGAGTATCCGGATCTATAAATGCGACAAATATCATATTCCCACTATCAATTAAACTAAACCCAGTCTCCAACTGTTGTCCCATTTGCTTCAATTCAGCTTTGATAGCCTCGACTTGTTTTGCGCTTGCTTCATCAGCCGTTTTTCTGAAAAATCTATTGAATTTGAAGTATTGAAGTAGAAGGTTTTTGGTTTGAAGCTTTTTAAGCTTTTGCGAGTATATTTTATCCATGTCTAGCCTATCAATAGAAAAGATTTACCTCGTATCCTGAGCCACTTCAATCGCTGTCCACAGTGCAGTCACCTCTTCGCTCAAAGCAGAATTCTTTTGTTCACTAAATTGTATGTGTTGAAATTTGAGCCTTCCCTGACCAGCCTTTGCTTGACTTTACTGCAAGCCTGGACTCATAGAAAGCCTCAAGTTCACTAAGAAACTAGGCCCTAGCTGACTTTTTGCTTCTTAAGCTAATTGCTCTAACCACTGAACTATCTGGTATCTTAACTTGCCTAGAGAAGAGAGAAAGAAAGAACAAACTTACATTTCTGCTTTTTCTGCTTCGAGTTTTTCACTCAAGTTCTCTGTATCCAACTTGCAGAGTTGAAGCTTCGGAAAGCCCTAAACTTTAGGTTAACTTTATACTTTTCGATATTAAACAAACAGTTTTTCATGCTTATCTCGTTTCGCCAATAGATCCTTATTCAACGCATCTGAGTTGACTCTTCGATTCAGAGAGTTGTGATTCAAAACTGAAAACATTGTTATGATTCTTTTCAAATTTCCCGAGTTTCTTTAAAGTACTGTAGAATTATGATCAGTGTTTTATAGTAGTTTTTAATAAATTTTGAATTTTTAAAGTCATATTTCTTTACTCTTTTTCTCATTTGAAAGTTGTTCTCGTAGAGTCGTCGTTTCTTTTTCAGAATTCATCGCTCACTCCAAGCGCTTCCTTGTTTTCGAGAGGCTCCGCTTTGGGATTGGTGTTCTCAGAAGTTCTAAAGTTATTATGAAATTCTAAAATTTAGCAAAATACAGTACATTTTCTCAAATTCCTTTGTCTGCTCCTCTCTTTGCTTCTCGATTTCCAGCTAACTTTCGTTTTGACGCGTCGAGCTCTGTGGCGAGTCTGCAAATCGAGTTTTTATCAAATTATCAATTTCAACTGTAAATTTGTTGTTTACCTTGTTGAATTTGTTAACTCTTAAGTTCAATCTGCTGTTCAACTGATCAATTGCTTCTTGTTCTTGATTTGTCGCATTTGCCGTCAACAACATGTTTTCAGGGAAAACCTGAGCTTCAACTCTTTCTTTTCTTTCTTTCTATTCTAAAGACGTTCCAGAAAACATAAGCTAATTTTTATCTTTCTTAGCATAAACAGCTTTTAAACTCATTTCTTATCAAGTTTCAAAAACTAATTGGGTTTCGAACAGACATTGATTGGGTGGGGTTTCAAACAAGACCCTAGCTCATTCGATAAAAGATTAAATCCATCCCAATGCTCCGATATTGATGAGACTAAAACTCATCCAAAATTCCGTGGTTTTTGATCAAAGGTTCGGTTTCCCCGTTTGATTTTCATTGATAAAGAGATCTCGTTTCGGAAACCCCAGTGATCTAGTACTCTCTCCTAATAAGAATTAGAGGCATGGACATCTCAAATTCCAGACAATCGAGTCTCACCTCCAATTGTTTCCTCGCTTCCTCCAGCTCTTCGTTCACCGTCTCTCTATCGACTTTCAGCTCATCAATGCTGAAGAGCATATCGATTTTCTTCTTCTCCTTTCAGCTAATTGTTGTTTTCAAAGCATCAGTTACCAACTTTAACTGATCCTTTTGAGCGGATGAGTCCCTGAAATTGATAATAATTTTTGGCGAGATACTCTAACAGAACGCTATCCCCATAATGACGGGCGTACATTCGCGTAGTCTAACTTTTAAACGTCTCATCTCACTCAAACCCCACCGTGCTTTCCTGTCTCTGCAATATTCTTGCCATTTCCATCTTTTCCATTTCTCTTTCTTGCATCATTTGCTCCAAATGCTTTTCCTTTTCTCGGGTGCTTCCTGAAAATCGAAAATTTTACAAGAAAGATAAGTTATTTCACACTATATAAGCATGAACGGTTCCTTCCGGTGGTGGAGTTAGTTTCTGAATCAAGTTTCTTTGCTTTACTTCTGTCTTGTATATCTAAAGTACAAGCGCTAATAGTGAGGCTCGCTAGATCTTGTTAAAATCCAAGGATTGTGGTGAAAGAGTCTTCCAAAACGCTTGTCTTTAATAGAAAAACACGTGACTGAAATCGAGTTTTGGAGTTCTGATGATTTCCGAAACTAGAAGAAGTTTTTCTGAAATTTTTCTACCATTGCAAATTGTGGCCGTCGAACAGTTCAAGGTCGACTGCTATTGGCTTACTGCTGGCTCCAACGCTGCTCAACGATTCGCGACTTCCGCCCATTCTTTTCTGTTGATACCGAAGAGTGAGGATTTGATGGTGAGCGAGTCTGAATTGATCGTTTTTGTTTTTTAGCTTTTTTTTTTGACTCAGTTGAGATTTGCGCAAGATGGCTGACTGGTTAGGAGTCTTCTCTACTAATCGGAAGGTCAAGGATTCGATTCCCTTTGGCGAGAAAGCTTTTTCCCCTTTATTTGGGTTTTTCTTAGCGACTTTTGGGCAATAGGGTTGCGCGCTGGCAACTTCGACGGTTCAATTGGCGGGCTATTCTAGTATGTTTTGTGTCTCACATTATTCGTATTGAATGAATATTTTTTTTGGAGGACGCGAGGTCGCCGTCATTAACATCTTCGCTGGGACGGAGTTAGGTTTTCGCGGCCGGCTCTATGAGTCGATACATTGGTTTGCACTCGAGGAAACAGCTGACTCCTTAAAATGGCAGTGAATAAAGAAAAAAATATATGGCAAAGAATTTGGGGCTGAGAGGATTGAACCCTCGACCGCCTGCCTTACTGCAGGGATGCTCCTGTACGCCCTGAGCTTTTGAACTACTGGGGACCTTCTTTGTGCGGGAAAAATAGTGAAAGACAAGGGAGAGAGAGGAAGAAAGGAGGGATGTTAAGAAAATGTTTTAAACTCTTTGGCTGCACAGATCCATCATTAACTTGCCCATTCGGGTGATCGAGATCGATCCCAGCGAGACACATGTAGCGAATTTTGTGACATCCAGAAATCGCACTGTTCCACAGTTCTTCCACCAGCCACATTCACTTTGTCACCGACGTCGAAACTGAAGAATACTATTTGAATGTTGAAACCGATGGCAAATATTCAGCTGAACAGCTGAACATTCAACAGAACAGCTGAGCATTCAACTGAACAGCTAAACATTCAACTGAACAGCTGAACATTCAACGAGAACACCAACGTACCCAAATTCAGCTGCATGCGGACCAGTGTGGTTCGGACACGGTGTGGAGCAACTCGTTTCAACTTCCCGGCTTTACAAAATAGGCCGTAGTTCGGATCACACTAAATTAAGCTTTTTAGTGACGCTTTTCGAAAAGAAAATCAACTTTAAAATGCTACCGTAATTAAGCGTTTAAACCCAGGGATATAGCGTCTAAAAATTGCCTCAATAAGGTACTAGCTGAGTTAATTTTTGGACCTCCCCAACCCTCATCAGACTGCTAAATTTAGCAAAATTGCTTTGGTATTTAGCACTTAGGATTTGGCAATAGTTGTAAATGGTAAATTGGAAAATCGATTTCGCAAATTGGTAAATGCTAAGCTGGTAAATCCGTTTAGCAAAATTGCTAGATGGTAAATGGTAAATACAGGGTTGGGCACAATTATCGAAACTCGGTTTTCGACTGTAACTCGACACGACTTCGACGACAGACACGACACGACTTCAATAATTATCCGATTCTCCTAATTTCATATTTATATGAAATTTCCCGTGACTTTCTGCGATTAATTTCAATTTTAGTTCAGAAGCATAGTGTTATGCTTTTTATAGTGCTTCGAAGTTCCAGAGGTGTCAACCTCTCAAAAAATCATCGTTTTCGACAGTTTTCAATCAAGAATTGCCCACAAATCAACCAATTCTTTTGGTTTTTCCACTCTTTAGTTAAATTTAGACAAATATCACAAAAATAAATGCATTGAATTTGCAAGAGGCAAATCAAGAATGATTTGGGAGTACAGATCGCTCAACTCTGCTCAACTTTCAGGAATTCAACTATTGGCTCTCAATTATTGAATTATTGAAATTTTTCTGAATCGAAATACTCCAGATAATTCTATTTCTTAATAAAAAAAAGCAAAAATGAGTAAATACGAGGCGGGAAATTCTTCAAAATATGTGCCAATCCTGACAAACAACGATTCTGCCGAGAGGCAAGAACCTCTGAACTTCGAAGCACTATAAAAAACATAACACTATGTTTCTAAACTAAAAATTGAAATTAACCGCAGAAATTAAGTTGAAATTTCGTATAAACATGAAACTAGCGGAATCGGATAATTGGGCGTCGAGTTACAGCCGAAAAACCGAGTTTCGAAAACTGCGTCCAACCGTGTCGTTTGGTGGAACCGGACCAGCTCCACTTCAAAACTCACCTCAAAATATCGTATCCCCTGCGGTGATCCATCATTTTTTCCAGTCCTTCGTCGAGAATCAAACCGATCCATTCTCCTTGTGCGAACTGTGTGTTCCCAATGAAGGCGATTGTCGCAGCTCGATTCTCGATCTCTACCCGATCACCAATCTAAAATACAATAAGCTATTGCGGTGTTATTGTAGTACCTCAAAGTTGTCAATTCTGCTCGCATTCGAGGCGCTTGATAAGATTGATTCTCGACCTAGAAATTAGGGAATTTTTGCAAAATAGTTTCCCCCAACTTTCTGTCCTCCTCAAATGCGACATCTCCCTTTTGCGACGAAATTTTGGCGGGTAAATGAAATAATGATCTAAATTTTGTACGAGATTTTGCCATAAATGAAATAATAATCTAAATTTGATTTAAAAGATAAGTTTATTGTAAAATAAAACGGCAAATTTTACATTTAAAAAGAGAAATTTAATGGCTTTACTTTAGTTTGACAAAAATCGTAATAGGATTCAAATGATTAGACAAGATTTCGACCAAAAAACCAAACAAAACAAAATATTGAACAAATTAAGAATTGTAAATCGTTTTAAGAAAGGAAAAATCGTGTCATTTTCAACATAAAATCCAACTTTTCCTATGTCAAACACGATTTTCAAGATTTTCAAGTGCTTTTTTTGTGGGAAACGTCAAGTACACTGTTTTACAAATGACGATGGGATTCAAAAATTGCGGGGTAGGCTAATTTCCGCCTTTTTATTTGCGCAAGTACGTTTGCGCAACTTTTCCATTGCGCAACAGGGTCATTTGCGCAACTTTTCATTTGCGCAACAGGGTCATTTGCGCAACTTTTTTTGACGTTTTTAAGGGACTGGCGTGAAAGCAGAGCGGTGCGCTTTACGTTTGAGTTCGTTTGCGTTTAGGTACGTTTGCGCAACTTTTACGAAGAAATGACGCAAATAATCAACCGTTTCAAGCTTTCATCGACTATCAATCTCACTGTTGGACAAAACTACGCACAGAAGAAAACTGTATTGGCTCGACAAAAGCAACGTTTTACTGCTACTTCTAATGGTCGCTTGCCCGGTTGCGATTTTGTGCAACACCTTTCTCAGCTTTTGACTTATATTAAAAAATTTGATTTTTATTGTTGTCCTAAATTTCATTGTTATCGGTTGCACTTTTTTGTTAAAGCAATAAAATATTTTAATGGTTATTAGCTCCTAGAAAGGACTAATTTAGATAAATATTGGAAGATTGCGCAAAAAAAATTGGAAGATTTCAGAAAAAATAAAAAAAAACAATAAAAAAAAAAGCTCAAAAATGAAAATAATGATTAAAAATCCGAGTACTTAATACAATGTTAAAGTTGCGCAAATGACCCTTTTTGTGCAAACGTACTTGCGCAAATGACGCAAATAAATTGGCGGAAATTAGCCTATCCCAAAATTGCAGAGAAAAATTAGTCGCGAAGAGAAATTATTGAAAAATCAACAAAGTTAGCGAAATTTTGAGGGTTTTATATAAAAATTTTGAAATGATATGAAAGTTTTACTGAGATTTACTAGAAATAGCATAAAATTCAGAGATTTTCACACATTTTTGCCACAAAAAGAAGACCAAAGACAATTTTTATCGAATTGACGAATATTTTGAATGCAAAAGCCTACAATTAGTAATTGCTCAAAAGCAGAATCCATGCAATTGTGCAGGATTTAATTCGCAATCAATTATTAAACGATAAAACTTCGATAAAACAACCCAAATCTTGAGTACACAGGATGACCAGAAATAAAGTTGCGGGATTTTCGGCAGCCCAAAATCCTCAAAATTTCAATTTTGGGGGGACAAATTTATTTTTAACCTATTCTCTGTGATTGTTTTTATTAGTTTCTTTGCGGTTTTATTTTTTTCAAGTCTATTCATTTTTTTAATAGGGTGACAAACAAGGGATTTGCCATTCTGAAGCTTCATCGTCAAGGTCAAGGCGCGAGTGCGATCGCGCGATTCCACGTGTTTCTCATCAGCTCGTCTCAAAAGCGATTAAGCGATACAAGGAGCTTGGCAGCGATGGAGATCGTTCAGGAAGAGGCAGAAAAGAACAGTCAACACCTCCAGAAATCGCAAAGTGATTCAGAAGCGCGTGGCCCGGAATCCACAGGCCTCAATGAGAAAGATAGCTCGACAGACGGGGATCGCTCGGGAATCGGTTCGACTTATGGCCAAAAATGAGCTCAATCTTCACCCTTACAAGCTCAAGCAAGGGCAACAACTCGACGACGACAACAAACGAGTTCGACTCGTTTGTCAGGGTTGACCAGGGAATAGGATCGAGCCACTCCGGCCGAGCTGCGGCCCATCGCCGAAAACTTCATCAAGCGTTTGAGGGCTCTGCATCGGAGCCAAAGGTGGCCACTTTGAAGAAAAGTAGATTTTATGCTCTCTTTTATATCATGTTGTTAATAAAAAATTGTTGTTTCTGTTGGTTTTTTTGGTTTTTTAAAAATAGGCTAAATTAGGCCGCAATGTTATTTCTGGTCACCGTGTATTATTGTATTTTTGATTGTAATGTAATTTTCTTTCTTTCTTTCAATCTCCAATCTTTATCGACAACAAAGATATGGTTCTTGTCCGGGTTTTCGCGTGAAATCAGTAACACTCTTCTCGCATCGATCCTTTCCTGGACATTGTTCATCGACTGGCTGTGTTGGATCGCATAGCATTGGTAAGAGCAGGGTGTTCCATGAGGGACAAACTAAAAAATGACGTTAAATGGTTTGATCAATAGTAGTACAGTTAAACTTTGCCGTAGACATGGAGACTACAAACGCTTCTAATTTGCTTTAAATCTACCGGATTGAAATGATCTATAGCTCAAAAAAGAGAATCTCAAGAGCTTTCGGATGGACTAAAGCACACCGAAAAATATTAATTCTAAAGAAAGTCACAATGGTTTGTAGCCTGAGTCGATCGCTTTGACTACGAGCGAGTACGGTTCGTTTGTAGTGAATGAAGCGTTTGTAGTGTGATAGTTTGTCATTTTTGTAGTTTATAGTGCTCCTGTCTAATTTACAGGTTCAATACATTGCTAAACAGAAGGGATTCACATAAACATATCTTACTATAACCAATCTTTATATCCAATTCAATACCAATCCCCATATTTTGAGATGATCAAGTTTATGTGGTTTAGTTTAAGAGTCATGATCGTTTCCTCTTTTTTCTTCAAGTAAACTAACTTGGCTGAATGGCTCCCGGTCGTGGTGCACAGCAAATGTGTTGATTGGCGGCGAGACTGAAGATACAGGCGGCTCTTGGATCAGCGCATTTCCCCATTCGACATGTGCCAAGTGAGGTCAAGAATGGATGCACACAAGTTGTGTCGATTTCTGGAAGAATTTCGATGAGAATACAGAGTTAGATGAGAATACAGAAGTTTTCGTGAGAAACCTAGTTGGTTTTTCTCAGCGCTTGCGTGAGAAACCTAGTTGAAGTACCAAATGAAAATCACAGAAAGCCGAGTACTCGTAATCGCTTTTTTTTCTCGCTTGTTCTTTTTCTACCATATTTTCTTTGACCAATAAAAGATCAGATCTTTAAAACTGCTCTAGTTACAGTAGTTTTAAAGGTACAGTTTTGAGTTTATAAAAGCTTTACCTGTTTCTGTCATTGCTAATAGAAGAAAACTCGAGAATATCACCGTAGAGAACATTTTTCAAAGAAGAAATTCCTTTTAGAAACACTTGGAGCTAAATTTAGAGTCGAACCCGAGAATGGTTTCCCCTCTTTTTTTGCCATTTTTCTATTCACGCACATCTTTTATATGCTTTCTTTTCTTTTGTGGATATTTGTCCTGGCCGATTTGAGAGCTAAAGAAGGGGACAACGTGAATGGGACAACTGAACAAATCAAAAGGGAATTTATTTGAAATGTCCAGAGAATTTGGGCTATTGTTCTCGAATTGGACACAAGAAACGTGACAGAAAAAGAAAATATCCGAAAAATTCGTGGGTTTTCGTGTTTTTGGCATCTGGAAACTATGTTACAACCAAAAAAATGTACACTTTTTAGACAAAAATCTGAAATCCGCTTCTGAGATCTTTACGGTTATAACATTCTTTTGGAATATCTCTAGAAAAAGCTGTTTCTGTTCAGGGAAATTCATTGGCTTGATAGGTTACAGCCTTATTCAACGAGTTTACTTCATAAACGAGATCTTTACGGTTAACGGCGCGGGGGTAGCGATTATCGACGCGCCAATTTTTAGACCAACTTGCAGCTCATTTTTAAGCACCTTAAACTTGTCAGATCAGGAAGTTTTAAAAAGATTTAGATAGCTTAAAACGTCAGCTTTCAAAAACTATTTGTTTTATCAAAAGTTATTAACATAAACTTGTATAAAATCCGGCTAAAATACAGGGTTTCTCAAAACTATCCGCACAACTTTTTGGAAAATTAGTTTTCGCACGCTCAATTTATTTCAAAATGCCAAGTGTTATATAGAGGATTGTAGCTCTTGATCTTGGCTACATTTATCTACTAAAAAATACCCAATCGGAGGTTTACAGCACATTTAACAAGCCCTTGAATGAGCACTAGTACCCAAGGAGGAAATAAACTGCAAAACTAAAGACAGAAGCTAAAACCAAAAGCTAAAGCAAACCAAAAACCAAGCTAAAAGCACATGGCAATGACAGTGCAAGCCAAAATTTTGCTAAAGTTCAGCAATCTTAAGTTTTGGATTTAAACTATTTAGAGTTTTACTCAAGATTCCTCAAGTCTAAGAATATTAAAAAAAAAATCACAATCAGTAAATCTCTAGCTGTTAAACTGTTAAACTAGTTTTTAGGATGTTAAATTACGGTAACCCTACAGATCATCAAGCATCCTGTAATCCCCTTAAACTTTTGATCATTTTTATCAGTATGAAATCATTTCTCTTTAGTTAACCTTTCTTTGAGTGTTATTTCAAAGAAATTCTTTTCTTTCCCAAAAAGTTCACTCACAAATATTTGCCTGCAAATATGACCGCCTTTTCTTCAGAAACGCAGACAACTTGTTATGTAGTTTTTCGTAAATTTGGTTTTTATCATAGTCAAAAGTCAAAAATCTTTAAAAAAAACGATTTATGTACAAGAAACCCGTATTTGGAAACATTTTTGAAAGATGAATCGGTGAAAATGAAAGAGAAAAGTTGTAAAGTCAACAAAAAAAACCGATAAAATTGATGCCCCAGATGGGTGGTGTTTGAAAGGTTTCGCGCTAAACATGATAGATTCGACTTCCAACGGGGAAATTGTGATGTCCGTTGAGGGGATTTCAAGTTGTAACTTCTCGTCCGACGATCAGGACATGGAGTCTCTAAGAGGACACCGCCAGATCTGAAAATAGGACTATTTAGCAAAGAAAGAAACAAAGAGTTTCCAAGATGGACAGTACTATGATATTAAAGTTTATGATCTATTCTTATCGTAGTTTTAACTAGAGTTTGTTCCCCTTGTGAGTAATACGTTTTTATCCTTAAAACGCTTTTTAAAATAAGGAAGCTTACTTCTGTCAGCTCCGAGCCAAACTGATATTTTAGTTACTATTGTTATTACTTCGAATGATTTGTCTATTCGTATGCAAATGTGTTCTCCTCTGTAAGGCTTATCCCTTTGATTGCCGAGAAGGACGGTCCTTGGGGATTGGAGGACAAGTGAGACTCTCATTTGGAGTCCCCCTTCCCCTTATACTCATTTGTAATCTTTTCGTCTTACTTGTACTCACTGTAAATAAAGATACATATCTTCCGGGTCTATGCAACTGCAGTACAGGTCGGTCATTTCCACAGGGACTCCCCTCTAATACGTTGGAGGAGTTGAGTTGGGTTGTCGGGGTGTTAGAGATGGCGGGATATCAAAAGGGATCCACTCTTTTTAGCTTAACCCAAATTCTAGTCCACATCCGTTTATACCTAGGAACGTATACTTCTTTGTTGTGTAATCATTAAAGAATAAAGGAGAAAACCCCAGATCAAAAATACGCAAAAAAGAATGAAATGAAAGAATTAAATAAAAGAATTAAATAAAAGAATTAAATAAAAGAAATGAAAGAGAATGAAAGAATGAAATTCTTCCTTTTATACCTGCAAATTAAGAGGAGTACGGTAGTTTTTGCCACACTTTAAAGTACAATGTCTTCCACGCGAGTAATACGTTTTTTTCAAACGCACACTTGCGAAAAATTATCGTACTTTTATCGTACTATTGCAAAAATCACGAGCGCTGACTTATATACGATTTCTTTTAAAGATATCCAACTGTTTAATTGATTTGGTTTGGCAAATTCTCTTCAAATGTAAAAATATTCAATTTACTCGACGTTTAAAGAGGATTACTCGTAGTTACTCGACGAAAAGCATCGATTAATCGAGTAAAAATGACTCATGCAAGTTTTACTCGAGTAATTCTTTACTCGGAAGGAACACACTCTAGCTTTTACCGTTGTACGCTTTCATTGTACGTGTTTTTGTGCAAGATTGCACTAGAATTTGCTGTTTAACTTTTTAAATCAATATAAATAGCATTTCTAAACCCACCTTCTCCGCAATTCGCAACTCTTCAGTTGGAAAAAGCAGTTATTTTTGTAAACTCTTCCGTGTTGATCGCACACCGGTTCCCAATCTCCGGGACAGTTTGAGGCACAACAAGCACCTAAATTTATATAGAGTTAAGCGTTTCAGTTTGTCACTTTTCTTGATACTGTTGATTTCTATATAAAAGTATTTTGATTCAAAGAGACGTTTACCCAACTCACCAGTATACTCGAAATGTAATGTATTGTTCGGGTGGAGCTTGTCGTGGATACACTTCGTATTCTTGAAGTGACACAAACTCGCGTGCGTTCCCCCATTCGAGTCACAAACCGGGTCCACCGTTTTGTCGCACGATTCAATCTTGCAGCATTCGCCTAATTGAATAGATTGATAGCTGGATAAGAAACGTTTTTACCTGTATGCACTATCGTAATATTTTTGAGTCGATTCCTTTCCATTATGCACTGTTTCTCTTTGAAATGGCACAGATCGGCATGCGTTTGTCCGTCCGAATCACATAAATGACCGCTTTTCGCGCAGTCACCCTAAGCATTGTTTTGTTGTTGGCAAAATAGCAATCATTCTTCAACTTTTCCAAAAATTTTATATTTCAAAGGCAATCCTAAATTTATTAGGTACTACGGAAAATAACTGCGTTTTCCGGCTGGTTGATTTTGACAAGGCTTTTAAAAACCTAATTTTGATGACTCTTGTAATTATTATTTTTGTCAAGGAGTGAACGACGTGCAACAAGTCAAGGAGATGCACTCAAAGTAGCAGGTTTTGAACCCCGCGTTAGTTAATGGAAAAAGCCGTATCCTGCTGCAAGACAACGAGCGTCCTCACGTCTCTGTAATGACACTCAGGGCACTCAATAATATAAGCATCGAAGTCCTACCTACCTAGCAAAATAGCAATGACTGCAAGAAGTTCTTAAACTTTTCCGAAAATTTTATATTTCAAAGAAAATCCTAGATATTAGGTACTACGGAAAATAACTGCGTTTTCCGGCTGGTTAGTAGTATTAGGTTGATGCATAAGTCTTTTCGTTTTTTTCGTACTTCTGTTAAAAAGTAACAAATTCACCAATTAATCTATAGTTTGCTCTATAAAAAAAGTGTTTTTTTTGTTCAATTTGCGTCTTTTTAAATGAATTTCGGTTGACTTTGAAGCAAATTCGAGAGTGAAAAACGCCTTTTTCGTAAAAATCTATAAAAAACTCTACGGAAAAATTGGCTGAATGAATTTCTCTGAAATTTTGGCGAAATATCAAACGTTTTTTTTTCTCTATCTTTTATCTATTGACACGAAGATAGGTTCTCTTTAGCTAAGGTGTCTAAACCGCATCATCGAGTTAGCCCTTTTTGACTACCCGACTTCATACTCTCAAGAAAATCCAGGCATTCAATATTTTTAAACCCGTTTTAATGTTATTTTGCAGAAAAATAATTGCTTTTTCTAATGAAATCAACCGTAGTTTAATTCGTGCATTTGTTGGCTTGAAACGGCAGACGAAAAGGAACAAAAACACTTATGCATCAACCTATTATTTCGGAAATTGCCTCACTTGTCCCATTGTACAACACTCTCCCGCATACGCCAACAAGAGGACTTCACCCACTCGTTCCGCCTCACATTGAGCCACTCTGAAATCAGCATTTTGATCATATTTGATGCATGATGTTTAGAAGAAAGATTAATCTTTAGATTTAGTAAAATTTCCATTCTAAACTGGTATTTAAACATTAAAGAATTGTCCTATAAACATGGGAAAATTCAAATCCAAATCTAAAAAGTAACTTGCTGACTTGCTTTGAACTTGCTGACTTTGACTTTGAACTTGCTGACTTTGAACTTGCTGACTCTTGTAATCCTAACCCTAGCTGGGTAAACCTTAGCTGGATAAACCTTTTAAATATAAGATTCTTCCTATTGCTTAGATAAAACCAAGTTCGATATAAGCTTCTACCTAAACTTGCACATATTCGAGTGTGTCTTGGTTCCATCGCAAACTGGATGAACCGTTTCTTCGCAAGGTTGACCACAGCATTGACCCTGAAGGCATTTTAGGAAGAAACTTCTATGAAATCTTCACTTTATATGCGATTTCAATGGTTTCATTCTCCGTTTTTCTCAATTTGCATTGATGTTGCTGAAAAGCGCATTGATTTGGATGTGTTCGGCCGTGGGAATCACAAAGGGGATCATAGGTGAGAGGGCAAGGTTTTGTTGAACAGCATTCACCTGGAAATTCACCTGTTTGGGATTCCGGTGATCTGGGAAAGCTTTAGAGCCGAATTGATTTAGGAAAAGTTTAGAAGTAGACTATGAAATGCACGTGGTCTAGTGCTTTAGTTGTTAAAAGTTCAAAAGATGAGCTAGAGGTTGATTCAAAAGTTCTCGTACAACTTTTTATTAAAACTTGATTTTAAAATGACTGAGCTCCTGATTAGCTTTCCTATTCAGGCCAACTTTTTTTTGAAATGAAAACCTTAATAAAATTAGACTAAACACTAATAAGGAGCTCATAGCTTATCATAGCTTTTTTTATATTTTGGCCCTTTGAGCCGAAAGTGGTCGACAGGGCTATCAAAATGATTGAAAGAAAGCAGAGACCCATTTTTTTGATGTCGTCAATGTTCTGGAACTTGTGGCTATCGAGTGAATGCCGCATACTTCGAAAGAAATGGTAGTCAGACGGGGCAATATCTGGACTATAAGGCGGATGAACTAGAAGTTCCCAGCCCAATTGCTCAATCTTCTCTTGCGTAATCTTGGCAACGTGCGGACGGGCATTGTCTTGTAAAAATCGCACTGTTGTCGGATCGATTCCTTTTCAAAATTCTTTTCAATTTCTTTAGTCATTCGTAATGTTTAGACTAATTCCAAACAAAAATTTATAAACTTTTAATGTTTATAAATATATAAACTACGATAAAAATGTTAGAAAATAATTTTAAAAGCGTTTAAACTAACATTTATTTGGATAGATATTCCCTCGTATCAAAGTTAGCAGATTTTTATGTTTTCATCGAAAAAGATCAGCCAAAAAGCCCCAGAAAAGGTTTCCAATATCAAGTTTAGTTTATTTTAATTAGCAAAAAGATTTAAAGCTTAAAATTTGTGTAAATTGTTTAATTTCAAGAATCTGTATAAACATTGGAAGTTGTCTAATTTCGGCAGCGTGTCGTCGAGTGTTTGTGCGCGGCTCAAAGGGTCAATCATATAAAAGTCATAAATCAAGCTTTCAATCAAGTCATATATCAATATAAAAGCTTTGCTCAGTCGTTTTTAAAATCAACTTTTAGTCAAAAATTGTACGGGGAACTTTTGGATCACTCTGTAGATAATAACATTGTCGAAAATCGATCTAAAACCATTTTGGATCACCAAAAAGACTTTCGAAGAATCGCAATTTGCTGGGATTTTGCTGAGATTAATAGGCTAGTGAAGCTTAGACTTAGGAAGTCGATTGAAAGTAGATTCAAAACTATTGGGTTGGTGAATTGAAAACTGAGGGTTATTGTCATATGTGACAGTTTGAGCACTTTCTTCAAAAGAAACCCATTTTGGTGTCAATGGAAAAGTTGTAGAGAATCAAAAATCAAGCTTATATCCAAATTTTCAGAACGATTCATAAACTGGTTTTCAAGAAATGCCAAATTTAAGAAAGAAATGCCAAATTTTCACAAAACTTGCATTTTAAGCTGCACTACTAAGTGTATCTTTTTGGAAATTTGGCTATAAGCCTCATTTTTGATTCTCTACAACTTTTCTATTGACACCAAAATGGGTTTCTTTTGAAGAAAGTGCTCAAACTCTCTATCGGACATCTCCAGCCCTCCATTTTTGAGTCTCACACTTGTCTCACACACAAACCAAAATCCTACTACGAAAGAGGAATCCGCAAATTGCCTGTAAAATGGGCAGAAGTCGTCAATAATAATGGAATTATAGTAATGGAATATTTGGAATAAATTCATGGTTTTATGTTGAATAAATTTTAGTTCAAAGTCCCGCAGTTTTCAATGCACCAACCCAATAGATCGGACGTTCGATTTAGAGTGAATTAAGGTCCAACGTCCGATCTAGAATCAAGCCGATCACTCTAAGACAGGTATCCGATTCAGAGTAAGATTTAGAGTGATCGGCTTGATTCTAAATCAGACGTTGGACCTCACTTCACTCTAGACATCCGATCCAGACGATTCTAGATCGGACATCCGATCTAGAATCAGTCTAGATTGAACGGATTCCTAGATCGGACCTAACAACTATAGTAGATTATTGGTCAAGAATACAACAAGACTGGCTTTGTTCTATCCCAAGGATCAGCGACTGATTCCAACTGATTTTTAATAGAATAGTGTGTGCCACTTGTACCAATTTAGCACTAATATAATCAATAATAATGGAAATTATTCGAAATGAATTCATGGTTTTCTGTTGAATAAATTTTAGTTCAAAGTCCCGGAGTTTTCAATGCACTAACCCAATAATTGTATCTACTTCGAAATCGAAACAAATCAAAACTAACTCACCAATATACCCTTTGTGCACCCTTTGCCCACTCGTGATTCTCCTCTCAATCAAGCAATTGTATCGTTCCAATTCACATTCATTCACAAATGTCTCTTCTAGAAATCACTTTTTGCGAGTTTTCATTGAAACAAACCATTATTCGCGCAAATTGGTTCATAAACTTTTGTGCACTCTTTGCATGGAATCTCGTTTTCGCAAAGATCGAATTTCGAGATTGTCAGATTTCGGCCGAATTTTCTCTCCTCTAGACAACGAGCCAAGCCAAAGAAGCACAAGTTCTAGAAAGCTTTGTGATTAGTATTGGATAGCTAAAACTTGATTTTTTCCGATACCTGATGACTTTTCCGATCGCTATCACAAACGGGACTCCAATTGACGGGACAATCCTCTTGACAGCACTCTCCGACGTATTGTACAGTCAATGATGAGCTGAAAATTTCCTATAGTTTGCCCAAGCCCTAACCTTACTCTTTTAAACATTTTGCTTCTTTCAATTCACACGCATTTGTGTAGATTTTATTGTCAGAGCCACAAATCGGCGAATACTCGTGGCCGCATTTCTCCGCGAAATCACAACTTTCGCTCATCGGTTGTGGAGTGGGGAATTGATTGACTAAATAGTTTTTGATATAAATATAAATAGGAGCACGTGTGGCTGACTGGTTAAGTGTCTTTTATCTTAATCGGAAGGTCGAGGGTTCGAACCCCACATGCGACATGGTCACCCCCTTCGGATTTCCTTTCCCTTCGGGTTGAGAGGTTTTCTGGAGGGCAGTCTGGTGGTTGTGGCCCCAGTTCTTTAAAGTGACAAGCCACTCCTTCATCGTCATCTTCCCTTCACCACCAAAAAAGCTATTTAGTTCCCCATTGAGCTTAGGGTTAGGGAGCCGTCTGTCATGACGTGGGTTAAGTTAAGATATAGCCTAGTATTGTGTGTGTCGTTGTATTGTGATTGATATATTTCGTGTATGCGATAAATTCACCACTGGTAGCCCCAGTCGGTATTTTTTTTTATAAAACATCTTTAAGGAAAGTACGGTGCCCAAAGCTTGAGTTAATCGAGCATTCTGGACATTTGATGCGCGCCCCGCCCCTTTGCCATTGGCAATCTAACTTTGAACTCAAATTTCTTGGTGTTGGGACAATGTATTCAATTTTGGAGTCAAACAAGGATTTGTGAGTTGAGTTGGCTTTGAAAAAAGGTTATCGGACACTTGATGCGGCTATCGCCCTTTTTTACCATTGGCATTCTAGGTTTGAGCTCAAATTTCTTGGTGTCAGGCTGTCCAATTTACATCTTCTTGGTATCATTAGAGTCTTTCTCTGTCGATTGGTATGAAAACTATTCAATTTGAACAGCTCAACACCAAGATCTTTGAGCTTAAAGTTAGAATGCCAATGGCAAAAGGGTCGGAAGCTAATCAAATCTCCAATAACCCTCAAAAGGTATGATAAAATTGAGAAATGATTAGGAATACCGTAGCTAGGTAATGCCATAAAAAGATTCACACTACTTCTGAATAGTTTGGAAGATATTAAGTGATTCTTACTGTCATTTCCTTGTTGTTCTGATGAATCGGAGGCTCTTGGTGTAACCTTTTTGGTCGTATTTGCACAAGCTCCCTCATTGATCATTAAAAGCTCGATTCCCTAAAAGTCTTATAGATTTTGTTCATTGACAAGTTACGACAAGTTAACGAATCATCAAAAACCCACCATTTTCTTCATTTTCTGACACCGGGCAATCTCGAAGAGACAAATGTTCGAATAAGTGAGTCCATCCGAGGCACACAAAGGATTTGAGGGAGCTGTGGCACAGTTATCCAATGAAGCACAACAACGGCCTTCCTAAAGCAATAAAATGTAAAATGAAAGGTTTTTTCTAAGATTCTCACATGAAGCACACTCAAATTGTAGCCGAAATTCTGCGTAAGTACACAGTGGAGAGCGTTGAACTCGCAGCGAGATCTGATCAAGGTTTGGTTTCAGAATTGATCAGGAATGGTTTTAGAAAATGGAAAAGAAAGGGTTCCTGGTCTTTTGGCTGATTTTAGGACATGTTCTAAAAAGTAAAAAGGAATGCCGGTCATAGAGCTATCTAATCCTTGTCTTGTAATAGAGCTACTGTAATCCTTGTCTTGTAATAGAGCTACCGTAATCCTTGACCTGTAATAGAGCTATCTAATCCTTGACTTGTAATAGAGCTATCTAATCCTTGTCTTGTAATAGAGCTATCTAAGTCTCGGCCTGTAATGGAGCTATCTAATCCTTGTCTTGTAATAGAGCTACTGTAATCCTTGGCCTGTAATAGAGCTATCTAATCCTTGACCTGTAATAGAGCTATCTATTCCTTGACTTGTATTAGAGCTATCTAATCCTCGTCTTGTAATAGAGCTACCGTAATCCTTGACCTGTAATAGAGCTATCTAGCCCTTGACTTGCAATAGAGCTACCGTAGCCAAAGACTACAATAACATGAAGACTGCTACTGTTATTCACCACTTAAAATATTGTTAAATTTCTGAAAACTTGTTTCAATTATCGAATCTACCGTGTTTGTCCATTTTGATCGCAGACAAGCGACCCATCGGGAGCATCATTGCCAAGCAAAGGACATTCCTCGTGAAAGCATAAAGAGCAACTACCTAAAATTAGATAAACGACAAATTAGCTAAACAAATTAGCTAAACAAATCAAACAAATCAAATAACAAACCTTTAAAAAGCACCGCTAGACTGTCATTCATACACTTGGCCTTTTGAAAATGACAATCGCTGTCATAAGTGACGTAATCATTGGCACAGATTGGCGATTTTGCGTCAACGTCAACTCCAAAACAGTCGGATTTGCACTTTTCACATTTGTCGAAACGCTAAAGTATTTTTTTGTTTGATATCAAACTTTTGAGCATATTTAGACTAATCTTGGAGTTCTTATCCCTGCATTTTGCCAGAATATTTGCAATTTGCCTGAGATTTTGTTGACTTACATACAAATGCGATACGGTTTAGGGTAGTGGTAAAATTCATAGTACGATACGATAAACTTGACGAAATTCAAAGGTTATCTTTAAGATTCACGTCTTTAAGATCAAGTACAGTTAGAGATGAAGCTGAATCCTTAAGATCCTCAAGTACAGTTCTTCTTTAACGTGATTAAATCTTTAAGTTCTAAAATGCAAACACTTGCCAATAATCCTTTTGGGGACTAGCTTTTAATTGTAAAATGATAAGTTTATTGCATGAGAATGCTTGAGAATGCATGAGAATGCTTCAGATTTGAGCACAAAGTACAGCAAGCCTTGAGTGCAGTAAGTCTTGAGTACAACAAGCCTTGAGCACAGTAAGTCTTGAGTGCAGTAAGTCTTGAGTACAACAAGCCTTGAGCACAGTAAGTCTTGAGTACAGTAAGTCTTGAGTACAGTAAGCCTTGAGTACAGTAAGTCTTGAGTAGAGTAAGCCTTGAGCACAGTAAGTCTTGAGTACAGCAAGTCTTGAGTACAGTAAGTCTTGAGTAGAGTAAGTCTTGAGTAGAGTAAGTCTTGAGTACAGTAAGTCTTGAGTAGAGTAAGTCTTGAGTACAGTAAGTCTTGAGTACAGTAAGCCTTAAACTTACCTCGATCTTCAATCTGATCCCTTTCAGCTCAGCTTTGCATTTCTCTCGTTCAAAGAGACACAAATTTCTGGAAAATAAGCTTTTATCTCTAAATACTGTTGGTTTTTGTCTCTAAATCGTTTTTATCTCTTAACAAGTATCGTTTTTCTTGTACTTACAAGTGTTGATTCCCTTGCGAATCACAAATTGGTTGAGATTCATTTGAGCATTTTGTTTCAAAGCATTTGTTCTCTTTGGTATTCGATTCTGTAAAGTAAAAAAAGGTTATAGAATGTAAAATTTTAGATTTCTAAAAGTTAATGATTAAAATTTTATATATTTTTTCGCAAATTCGATGATTTTTACCGTTTTTCTCGTTTGGACACGGCGATAAACTGACGAGATGCGCGGCTTTTCCGCCCGCTTTCCGTTCGACACAGTTTTTCATCTGAAATGGAATTTTTAGGTACATTTGGGCACATTTTGAGTAAAAACTTGACTCTTTGCCTGATCCCGAGCATAACGTAATCGAATTTCTATTTAAAACTCGTCAGGAAAGAGTCACAAACGTTCTGATTCGGACTCTTTCGCGGACAATCCTCCAGAAAACCCAGGAAATCAGTTTTGTTGAACAGAGAGTCATAATGACCATTATTTATATTAAATCAGTACTTTACGTTTAGAAATGTATTGAGTCTTGTTCTTGTCAAATGTCTTTAGTTCTTGTTTACCTGAAACGCGCAAAGATTCTTGTGCTCAATCATTTTCTCGTCGCAAACCGGACGAGTCTCTTCGGGGCAACGCTCGGGGCAAGTTTCTTCCTGGAAATTGGAAAGTTCTGGGGCATTTTATATAGCTCATAGAAGTCCTGGGGCATTTTATATAATCCATAGAAGTTCTGGGGCATTTTATTTAGTTGATAGAAGTTCTGGGGCATTTTATATAGCTCATAGAAGTTCTGGGGCATTTTATTTATTCGATAAAGTGATATGCTTTATTCATAATACAGGATGGTCCAGTATTACAGGTAACTTTTTAGGAGAACAGCTTTTTCAAAAAAACTTTCCATGACAAGTACCACGTGTTATATAGTATTCGAAAGTGGAAAATCTCAGCTAGATTACCTTTGCAATTGTTTGTTATGAAAATACAGTTTTAAGTCCTAAAAGGGGGTTGAAATGCACCGAAGTCCACATGCCGTGGCGACCTGCTCTTGCTTTTCGAGTTAAAAAGGTTCAGAGAAAAAGCTAAAGCATGCTTATATCTACAGTTCTTTTATCTTCAGAAATTTATATTAATATTTTAAAACAAAAACAACAGTCAAACGTCTCTCTATCGCAAGTTCCAGGCACCGCAAAACCCGCAAATTTTCCCATATTTCCAAAATGAGATTTTATCGCCGACTGTAGACTTTTGTTTTGGCAAGAAAGGCTTCAATTTCTGCACAATCATACTTACATTAAGATTAAGAAACCTTTGAAAATGTTTGTCTCCATTAAAATAACCTTCTCAAGGCAATTGTCACGTGGAAAATCAAGACAAACAGCAGCAGCATTTGACTTCGGTGCATTTCAACTCCCTTTTAGGACTTAAAACTGTATTGTACTAAACTGTATTGTACTAGTACTGTAAAGGTAATCTAGCTGAGATTTTCCGCTTTCGAATATTATATAATATGTGGTACTTGTGATGGAAAGTTTTTTTTGAAAAAAACTCCTCCTAAAAAGTTCTCTGTAATACCGCCTTTATGAATAAAGTATCTCACTTGTCGTTGTTGTATAATATTGAACCGCCCTGTACAAGTAGGTACAAACCTTTTCCGTGAAAATGGGACTCTCCTTGTGACATGATCCAATATGGACCAAAACTCGTCGATCGCCGCCTTTTCTTTCCATTTGGCAGTTCCAAACGGCGAGGTGACAAAGTGAGGGATGAGTCTGGAAGGAATACGGGAAACTCTAACGGGAAACTGGATGTAAGAGAGTGCTCAAAACTGTGTTCAAAGAAAAACAGTGAGCTAACTTTTAGCAAAAATGCTTTCCTAAGCTCAGAGCCATTAGAAATGGGTTTTAAAGTTTAAGATGAACTTAATCAAACAACTATTACTCATCTATCAGACTGTAATCAATATCAATCTATAGCTATCAATCAATATCAATCTATCAACAGCTATCAGACACCCATTTAAGCATAGGACATAGATTAGGGTTTGATTTTGATTCGATTTTGATACAGAGCTATTGGGTTGCCCAGTTATGAATGCGCGTTTTTTACTATTTTGTAAATTTCTCAAGATACCGAAATGAAGAAAAAGATATATATGAGTATTATTCGAAAGCTGAAGATCTCCTCTACATTTTGATATAAAAAGTTTTTGAATTTGTTCAGCTTTTGGGCAAATTGACTGCACAGAAGAAGAGGTGGCCAAAAATGGAAGGGTGCCTTGGGATCAAGTTTTGGCTCCGCTCAAATTGAGTCAACCGTTTGATGTTTGGCCAATAGATATATCAATACAAATTTTTTTAAATATACCAATTTCAGAGCATCTTTACTTTTCTTTTCTTTTCTGGGCGGTTATTTTACACCATAAAACTTGAGGAATAGCTAAGCTGAAATGGGTTTTTTTTTGGATAACGACCTCTCCCTTTGTGCAGTCAATTTCCCAAAAAGTTGAATGAATTCAAAAACTTTTTTATTCCAAAATGTAGAGGAGATCTTGAGCTTTCGAATGATATATAACACTCATATACATCTGTTCGATATCTTGAGAAATTTACAAAATAGTAAAAACGCGCATTCATAACTGGACAACTCAATATCTCATATTCCTTTAGGTATTAGATGAAATTATGAATTCAAATCCTAATCCAAATCAATCCCAATCCAAACCTCTTACACAATCTTACACATTTGGGATCATTTTGCCTCTAGCGCCTGCTTTCTTACTTGATTTCTATTATCGCAAACGGGAGTCTTCTCGCGGGCCGTCGAACAAACACCACACGGCTCATCATCGCCTTTGTAAACCTAAATAAAACTCTATAGTTGACTATTGTTATCTAACCAGTATCATAGTCATCTAATTATTTAATCTCTAATCTCTAACCTCTAATCTCTAATCTCTAATCTAATCAGCTATCTCATTTCCTAGTGTTTTATTTTTCAATTCTTATCGCAAACCTTTGTATCTTTGCACTCTCCTTGGTGAGAAATCTCCAAAATAATCCCCTCATGTCGATAGAGTTTACAAGCGAAAAATTGAAAGAGACACGGATTTTTGTGGGTTCTTCCTTGGTGATCACACACTGGATGCCAATCTTTTTTGCATGAAACAGCTGAACAACGAATCGAGAGATCCCAGGGGAGATTCTGAAAAAAGAACACAGTAAGATAAAGGAAACATGAATATGAACATGAATTCACACTAATTGGAGTCTTTTTTTCATTCAGGGGTGGCGCAACGCCGGTGTGGCTGCACAATTAGGGACCCGGGTTCGATCCCGGGCCCCGATGGACTGGTTCATGGCCTAGGTTTAGTATAGTGATAAAATTCATGGTACGAGAAGTCCTTAATGCGAGAAGCCTATCGTCCAATAAGAGTAAGGGTTAGGGGGGAAATGTAGACGTGAGTTAAGTTAAGATATACCCTACTAATGGGTGTGTCGAATTGTGATTATCGTGCCAAATAAAGCAGATTCGGAGTTCCCAGTGTATATCTTTGTATAGTTCAGATCCAACGAACTATTTCAACTAGTTCAAGTTGGATTTAGTTCAAGTTCAACTTTAGCTACCATTCTTTCTTGCAGTTCGACTTTTAACTAAGCTCTAAAATAAACAAAATGGCTTACCTTTGTAGACATTGTTGTTTCAGTTTCAGAACTGGATGTTATGGCTTTTAACCTATCAGTAGCTTTAACTGTATCGTCTGGGAAAATCGTTTCTCTGATAAAAGTTGCCGTCGTCGTTGGCATTGTTGTAGATTTCAGCGCGACTTTTGCAGTTAACCCACTCCTGGTTTCTGGCTAAATTTACAATACTTTAGACAAGATGAAAGCTTAAAACTTTATCTAATGTTGAGTTCAAAAAACAAGATAAAACTTAAAACTTGTTGAGACAAAAGTTCACAAAAAAAGTCAGCCAATTCTTTTGATTCAAAAGCAAATGACACAACTTTCCTAGTCTACGTGTTAGTCTTTTAAAACTCCAACCAAAACTCACCTCATCCTCTCCAAAAATCGCCGAAATCGCAGAAAATGGTTGTTCGTCTTGTTCTTCCTTTTTCATCTCTTCAAATTTCGATACTTCCAATCTTTTCCCTTCTGATTGTGAGCGGATTTTGCTCGCTAAAGCTTTTCGATCGATCGATGGAGTCTTTTTCCCGATTTTGATCTGAAAATTTGCAATTTTAGACTGTTATATTGACAATTGACACATCTTATTCTAATTCTTTCTTCTAATTCTAATTCTTCAACCCTAAAAGAGATCGAATTCGGACCGATTCTCGGTCATTTTCAACCTTGAGTATCTCCGCTTACAATTAGTATCTTACATCTTATCTTACAACAATTGAACAACAATTAAACCTATGTGCCAAGTGGTAGACTCAATAAAATTAGCTCCAATCGATTCCCCCGAAGACTCCTGAAAACAAATTCACAGCTCAAGACCTTCTTTTTGTTGTGTGAAAGTTTATTCAGGTTCCAGTTCTGATGGTACTTCTAAAATGATCAAACAGCCAGTCTAATCTAATTTAAACTCAAATTACTCATAAACTCATTACAAATTACTCATAAACTCAAGCTTGTTCAGCCTCTTTCTCAGAAGCGCACGTTTTCAGTAAATTTTATTGACTCGAAATCCTCACTTGAAGTTATACAGTAATGAGAGGTATGGGAAGGCAACGATATTTGCATTTGTCTTTTGTTTCGAAAGGGTTTTTGTTGTATGGTAAATGAAAAGACACTACAGGGACCGAGAAAAGTATTGCCGCGTCTCTTTGAACTAACTTTTATGCGATTTAAAAGTATCCTTTTAAAAGATTTAAAAGTGTCAAACATGAATTTTGTCTAGTTTTTTTTCCTCTTTCAAATGGTGCTTGGCATTCAATGTGTATTTTTGGAAATGCAGGCTTGTCCTCATCGAGAAGCGATCACTATGCTTTTGAAAGCCGGAGAGTCGAAGGCGGCCATCACGCGAAAACCAACATCAGAACTGTTCAACGGCTTGCCAAACAATTGCAAGAGAGAGGACACGTCAAGGAAAAGCCGAAAAAAGGAAGACCTCGATCGGTGACCACGCCAAACATCCGGAAGCTCATCAAACAGCGAAACGACGAGCGAAGCTTAGGAAAAATGGCCATGTATACAGTAATAGACTACATCTACACTTACAAAGCAAAAAAGAGAAATGTCTATGTTCTTGGGAGCTTTTGCCTTCAAGTTTGTTAGTATTTTTCTACAATAATCCTACAAAATATTTGCCTAAATTGAATGAACAATTTAATGAACAATTCAACAAATGTAATAAAAAGATCCTATTATCAGTAAGGCAAAAAAATTTCACTAAATTTCACAAGTGTTATTCAAGGAATTTGGTGGTTTGCTATAAGTTTAAAAAAGTTTCAAGTTTTGTGTAGGTACACTACTGAAATATGATATTTGAAAAAAGATCGTCACTCTCGCGCGTTCTGTAACTCCCTTGTCTTTACCGTATTTCTAAATATTAATATTACCATTGTGTAGCCCTTGAAAAGAGCTTTCAGAAAATGTATAACACTAATAGTTTAAGCTCAAAGACAAGGGAGTTACAGACGCGCGAAAGTGACGATCGTTTTTCAAATAGCATATTTCAGTACTTTCAAATATGATATTTCATTGTCCAGTACTGTACTTATTGATCAATCCTCATCAGAACTGTTTCTATTTTATTCACTTTATCCATTGAACTAACAAGCTGTAAGGTTTGGAGTTGAAAAAACTTGAGAAAGCTTGTCTACTTTGATGAGCATAACTCGGTTTTAGTTTTAGAATCGATTGCAATTCAAGAATGCAATTCATGAATGAAATTCAAGAATGCAATTCAAATCGCTCTTATGAGAATCATTTTTTACCTTCTTCAACTTTTTTGGCTTCTTTATCGTCGGGATTTCGGTTGTCGAGAGGTTTAGATGAGTCATTACGAGAAGCAATTCTAAACTCACAATCAGTTTTCAATGTTTTTAAATTGAGAACACTTGGATTCTATTTTCTTATTCTATTTTCTCATTCTATTTTTCTTTACCCTTTTCTGCAATTTCTGTCTCATTTCTGCATCGGCCATGATATGCCAAAGCGATCTCTTCATTTCCACGATTTCTTCGCTCGCAATTCACTTGATCAAATCTGGAAAAGAGGAATCGTTTGAAGCAAATTTCTGAATGATTTTTGCTTTGATTTAAAGAGCTTAAAGTGGTGTTTAAAGCTGAATTTGAAAGCTTTGTCTTGAAAAGTTTTGACCTTGAAGACTTTGGCTTTGAAAGCATTGACTTAAAGTTAGCCAAATAGCTTTGCTTTCTAGCTTTGTTTACGTGAAGAACAGATTGCGTAACTAAACCAGTGCATTTTTCTTGCAATTGATTAGAAGTAAGCAATGAATTCAATGGCTCTCACTTGCACGTCGAGTTGTGAGTGTTCCCGAATTGATCGCAAACTGGTCCATCAGTTTGTTGATCGCAGAAAATCGCAGTGCAATCCTCATCTTGTCGCTCGTCTGGTCTGCATTCTCCCTGAAAAGTCAAAAATTCTTTTAGAGAATTTGATATTAATTTGAGTAAAACCTTAAATAAAACTTTAAAATATTAGGTTGGCGATATTGAAATTTCGTTTGCGTTTCTCTTTATGGATTTTAACACTGTTGGATACTATTACCACCGCAATCTCTTCTGTTTTCAAGAAATAATTATTGTGCTTTGTTACGCGTTTTTTGAGCTGGGAACTTCTAGATAAGACAATGGCTCGACCCGGGAGAAATTCCAAAGCCAATACCTAAACCAGATTTTCACGGAAAGAAAGTTATGCTGTCGATTTGGTGGAATACCCGAGACCTGGTCCATTTCGAAGTGTTAATTTCTGGTCAGACTGTTGATGCAAATCTTTACGTTCAACAACTAGATCGCGTGGACGCGGTTCTTCGCTCAAAAGGAATCGATCCGACAACAGTGCGATTGTTACAAGACAATGCCCGTCCGCATGTTGCCAAGATTACGCGAGAGAAGATTGAGCAATTGGGCTGGGAACTTCTAATTCATCCGCCTTATAGTCCAGATATTGCCCCGTCTGATTGCCCGCCTTATAGTCCAGATATTGCTCGCAAGAGAAGATTGAGCAATTGGGCTGGGAACGAAGTTTCGGCATTTACTCGAAAGCCACAAGTTTCAGAACACGACATCAAAAAATGGGTCTCTGCTTTCTTTCAATCAAAACCAGCCCAATTCTTTCAAGAGAGTTTCCATAGTTTGCGTCAAAGATAGAAAAATGTTATTGATAGCTGTGGGGAATATATTGTTGATTAATTGTTTCTAGTTTATTTTTACGAATAAATTTTGTTGTTGCTCAAAGACGAAATTTCAATGTCGCCAACTTTACTTCCAAATCCAAATCCTTTCAATAATAGTAAAGGGATTTGGCTCACTTACGCAATACAAAACGAAAAGCAATAGGATTTTCATCAAAGATCCATTCAAAGTTTGACCTCAATTTCCAAAATGGATCTATTTTTCTGTTTATTTCATGAAAACTTCATGAAATGCCATGAAGTTTTCCCCAAATCTCCAAACTTTTTTCGTGAATTCTCATAAAAAGGTGAAGACACTTTGCGAAATAGATAAAGTGAAAAGAAACTGAAAAAGAAACTTTTTGAGAGGGAATAAAGAGGAGTAGAGAGGAGATTTCAATCTCTCACACTCATAAATTGTGCTCAATTAAAAGAATAAACGAGTAAACGAAAGGATAATGAAGAGATTGGTGTTAAGAAATAGAGAAAAGCAGAAATAAAGAATTTCTGGGGTTCTCGGGGGAACTTTCTCTGATATTCAATCGAAGAAACTGAGATTCTTGGTGCATCAAAAACACTCTTGATCAAGAAACTGAGATTCTTGGTGCATCAAAAACACTCTTGAACAAGAAACTGAGATCCTTGATGCATCAAAAACAATCTAGATCAAGAAACTGAGATCCTTGATGCATCAAAAACAATCTAGATCAAGAAACTGAGATTCTTGATGCATCCAAAACAATCTTGAACAAGAAACTGAGATCCTTGATGCATCAAAAACAATCTAGATCAAGAAACTGAGATTCTTGATGCATCCAAAACAATCTTGAACAAGAAACTGAGATTCTTGGTGCATCAAAAACACTCTTGAACAAGAAACTGAGATCCTTGATGCATCAAAAACAATCTTGAACAAGAAACTGAGATTCTTGATGCATCCAAAACAATCTTGAACAAGAAACTGAGATTCTTGATGCATCAAAAACAATCTAGATCAAGAATCTCAGAAAAAACCTAACAATTTGCTTTACTGGTTCTTTTTAGTCTGACTTTTTAACTGCGCTTACCCCAAGCCAATCCGTTTGGCGGTTCAAATTCAAGTCAAACCACTGAAAAGAGTTGATCCGCAACAGGTTGAGCACAAGTTTTGAATGATGTATGCCGTAAACTTTCTAATAGAAGAGCCAGTTCTTCTATTTTTAGAAGAGCTGACTATTTAGAAGAGCTAACACTTCAATATTTCAACAGCTCTTCCTCCAAAATTCTTTTCCTACTCTAGCTACAATCGCCCAAATTTTCAAGAGCTTAAGAATGGGTGTTTTTGTTGGATTTTCATCCGGTTTTTGACGTGATTAGGCTTTTTAATTTATAACTATTATTTAAAGCCTTTAAAAGTCTTTAAAAAGTTAAGCATTTTACTCCGAGAGTTGACAAATCAGGAAAAAGAATGAAAAATTTCGTCTAAATGGAGATCTTTTAATAGCTCTGCAATTTGAATAGTAGAAGTAGAAGGATTGAAATGTAGAATTGAAATTGAATTGAAATTGAATTGAAATTGAATTGAAAGTAGAAGGATTTAATTTCATGACAAGCTCGACAATGAGAAGGCTAGCTTGCTTCCTTATTCGATTAGAGTTTTGTTATCGAGCCTCTCGTACTATTTTGAGGAAAGGAATCAATCAATACTAGTTGAAAAGAAAATACAAACAAAGAAATACTGATTGTGCTCTCTATTCACAATCAATATTTCTATCTATGATCTCTATATTTCAAAAACAAACATTATGCTGTATGTAGAGCTTCTTGTTTTGCAATTTCTTTGCCAAGCATTTGTGAAAATGAAAACGACACTCGTTTTGGTGGGTTCTACCTGAAAATTTGATCGGTTTATGATGAGAAATTTATGGGTTTGCCTAAAGAAGCGTTAAATTCTAATTGATTTTTTCAAACTCCAGCTTATAAACCGACCAAAATTATCGCAAACGGGTGAATTTACGGATGGGCAAGCATTTTTCGGGCAACACGTTCCCGAATAGAGTAAACGAAGGTCTAAACTTTTGAAGCTATAAGATTTTGATATCTTATAGCTGAAATCTATCTTGGTGAATTGAAAACTGCCGGCTATTGTCATATGTGACAGTTTGAGCACTTCCTTCAAAAGAAACCCCATTTTGGTGTCAATGGAAAAGTTGTAGAGAATCAAAAATCAAGCTTATATCCAAATTTTCAGAACGATTCAAAAACTGGTTTTCAAGAAATGCCAAATTTAAGAAAGAAATGCCAAATTTTCACAAAACTTGCATTTTAAGCGAAACTACTAAGTGTATCTTTTTGGAAATTTGGCTATAAGCCTAGTTTTTGATTCTCTACAACTTTTCTATTGACACCAAAATGGGTTTCTTTTGAAGAAAGTGCTCAAACTGGGACATCTCCAGTCAAGTTTGGTGAAAATTCGTAAATTTGGCATTTCTTGAAAACCAGTTTTTGAATCGTTCTGAAAATTTGGCTATAAGCCTAGTTTTTGATTCTCTACAACTTTTCTATTAACACCAAAATGGGTTTCTTTTGAAGAAAGTGCTCAAACTCTCTATCGGACATCTCCAGTCCTCGATTTTTGAGTCTCACACTTGTCTCACACACAAACCAAAATCCTACTACGAAAGAGGAATCCGCAAATTGCCTGTAAAATGGGCACAAGTCGTCAATAATAATGGAATTATAATAATGGAATATTTGGAATGAATTCATGGTTTTATGTTGAATAAATTTTAGTTCAAAGTCCCGCAGTTTTTAATTCACCAACCCAATATATAGCCTTTTTGTTAAATCCAATTGAATTTTCAACTAAACTATCAAAAGCTATAAGATTTCGATAGTTTAGATGAGAGAGTATAAAGTATTCTCTAAATCTATTCTCTAAATTTCATTCCTTAAAAGTTGTAAAGTTTGGTTTACCCGTTTTCATTTGCCTTTCACATTGTAGATGACACTCGGAGTCATAGGTGATCTCATCCGAGCCACAAACGGGCCGAAAACGCCGCTCGCACTTGCAATGTTGCTGGGAAAGGCCTAAAGTTGGAAAGAATTTTTGCTCGCTTAAGAAGTAGAGCTGTTCATTTCTGATTGTCGATAGGTGTACAACGAAAAAACGAGTTTTGATCACTTGAACGACTACTTTTTCAGGAGCTCGTGCTACATGAAAATAGAATTTCGCAAATTCTATCTTTTGATCTCAAGTTCTATCTTTTGAAAAAGCTTGTATTAAGAAAAGTACCCATTCAAATGGTCAAAACTTGTTTTTCCGTCGTACACTTATTGACAAACCTCCCGAAAATGAGCAAATCTATTACGAAAAGAAAAGCTTTGAATGTTTAATCGTTTTTGGAAGTTTTCTCTTTCTCACCTCTCGTAAAGACACCAAATGCTGTTGATGAAAATAGAAAAAATAGAAAAATCGTCGACTCACAGCACCTCGATTTGTATAAAATCATACAAAAAGTCGCTAAAAATGTTAAAATTTAGCATTTTGATGTTAAATCATCGAAATGAGGCGTAAAAAAAGATAAGGAAAAGGGAAAAACGATCATAAAGAGACACGTTTTCTTGCGAAGAAAGTGATTTGCATAGGTGAGAGTTTGATGAATCGGCGGAAAATCGAAAGCAAAATGTGCAAAATCGAAAGTCATTAGTGCAAAAAGAATCTGAAATCTCCTATTTTCTGTACTGAAATTTCAGCTCTTGCTTTTTTATTCTAATTCGGCTTCGGTTCTAAATTTCTAAGCATTAGATAGTCGAATTAAATCCGAGCTTCAACTTTAACTTCCACTTCAACTTCATCTTCAACTTCAACTTCAACTTCAGCTTCAACTTCAACTTCAATATGTCATTGTGCCTAGATTTTTGAGACCAATTTTTGCCTTAAATTTGGCTATATTCTTGTACATTTCGAATGTTATAAAATAAGCCCCATTTGATCAACTAATCCCAAATCTTTGGCATTAGCTTTGTCTTAAATTGCTTTATTTCTTTGGCTTTATTTTTCTGCAAAAAGGAGACTGGGATCTGCGATCCGACTTGAATGTGAGAAGATTTGAGTGCAACAGTGTTCACAATTTCAGGCAAAAGGATTTACCAAACAAAGATGAAGATTTAATAGCGTTCGATTCCTCAATAAAAGCTATGATTTCTGCTACCCAATCGAAACACTGTAGTGAGACGATAGCAATGAGATGATAGCAATGAGATGATAGCAATGAGATGATAGCAATGAGATGATAGCAATGAGACGATAGCAATGAGACGATAGCAATGAGATGATAGCAATGAGATGATAGCAATGAGATGATAGCAATGAGATGATAGCAATGAGACGATAGCAATGAGACGATAGCAATGAGACGATAGCAATGAGACGATAGCAATGAGACGATAGCAATGAGACGATAGCAATGAGACGATAGCAATGAGACGATAGCAATGAGACGATAGCAATGAGACGATAGCAATGAGACGATAGCAATGAGACGATAGCAATGAGACGATAGCAATGAGACGATAGCAATGAGACGATAGCAATGAGACGATAGCAATGAGACGATAGCAATGAGACGATAGCAATGAGACGATAGCAATGAGACAACTAGCAACGAGACAAAATTTAGCACAAAATTGTTCTTTATTCAAAATAACCAAATAGTCTATGTGTCTATTTTTCTTTCAGAAATGGCTTCATTGTCGGATTTACCCTTGAACTTTCCCCTTTTCCTTGTTTTTCATCATCGAGCACTATCGAGTTTTTTCGAGCGGAAATTTGTGCTCTCTTCAAGGGAAAATTGAAGCAAATGGATTCTCGAAAAGGGAAAAAATGAAAGAAAGAAAAGATTCATAAAAACATTTACACATTTACATGAAACCAGTTATGATCTGGAAATAAAGGAGTAGGAATGGAGAAGAACAATAAACAGATGGAAGAGTTGAAAAAAGAACGGGAAAGTTTAAGGGAAACCTTGAAGGAATAACCTGTGAAGTACTGGAGTGTTCTTGGAGTGTGGCATGATGGTCACATCCAGATCAATCAAGGATAAGAAGCCAAGAAAACCAGCAATCTAATCTGGATTCTTGTTGCAATCGGTAAATGATCTGGCAAATGTCTAACTTATTTAAAAAGTCTCAAGTGTTATATAGAGAATTGTAGCCCTGATTCTCAGCTGCATTTATCTATCAAAAACTTTCCGATTCGACTTATACAACTCATTTAACAAGCACTTGAATGAGCTCTAGTCATCTCTCCGGTGAATCTGTCATTTGGCCGCTTTTCTACATTAAAAAATTTCATTCGGAAAGTTTTTTTCAATCAAATTTGTGATAATTTTGTCTAAAAGAAATTGTTTTCAACGCCAGAACAGCTGATATAACGAGATACGTATATGAAATATTGAAAATACTCAATTTCCACCTTTTTCCCTGTTCCTCCGACAGAAGCTTGACATCAACTTAAATTTTGGTTATGCCAGTTCAGCCAAAACAATGAAATGTGATTCTTGATGTTATTAAGTGATGTTAAACGCTAGTTTTGCATTGAAGAAATATTAAAAAGCTTTTCTTAACAATTTTTAATAAAGAAAAGCGGCTAAATGACAGATTCGCCGGAGAGATGACTAGAGCTCATTCAAGTGCTTGTGAAATGAGTTGTATAAGTCGAATCGGAAAGTTTTTGTTAGATAAATGCAGCTGAGAATCAGGGCTACAATTCTCTATATAACACTTGAGACTTTTGAAATAAGTTAGGCATTTTCCAGCTACTTTTGCAAAAAGCTGTTGCTATAATTCGCTGTATATTGTCTGGTTGGTCAACCGGGTTGTTTAGCTGCCCGGGCCAGGCTTGAAAAACTTACGTCTCTCGTCTCTCGTTACAAAAAAGCTTAGCCAGCAATGAACAATGAAATTTCGCGAATTTTAAAAAGACTTTTGAGGTGGAAGTGTCCAGTAGAAGTTGAATCATGGAAAACCTCCCGACTTTCCTGATAATCCTTTGAACTCTCGACCTTTGAACTGTCAGTGCTGAATCGATAAAAAGATGGATCAAGTCCGGGAGTGAGTTACTTCAATAGTTCAATAGTTTCATTATTAAGCTCTTATTAAAGACAAATGCAATAGTTGAAAGCTAAAAAGTTGGAAAGCAAAAGAGAAAACAATCTCAAAAGTCTGAGCTGACAAGCAAAAAATCAAATATTCTTTGGCAAATTTGAGATTTATAAGTAAGATTTATAAATTTCAAACCCCTATCAATATCCAGATCCAAGAAACCAAAAAAAAAGAACTGAAAATCGAGAAGCGCGAAGGGAAAAGCGAGAAAATCGCAAGAGGGTTTTGTCTGTGATTTTTCAAGGAGAAAAAGAAAAAGGAGAAAAAAGAAAGGAAAGGAAAGGAGAGGGAGAAGCTAGATGACATCAATCCATTCGTTCATTCAAAGAGATACGGAAAAGAAGAATGATCAGCATTGCTCTTACTTACACTACTTATTACTTCCTTACAAATACAGTCAAACTTCGATACTTCGACTTTGACTGTACCGTAATTCGTTTCTGTACCGTTTAGTTTCAATAAAGTTCTAAACTGCCGTTTTCCTCAAGCTATCACAACGAAAAGTATTGGCTTACTGCAAAGCTATAAGCAAAACTACTGCAAAACTACTGCTTAACTACTGCTTAACTACTGCAAAACTACTTTCATATTATCAATTACAGTAAGTTTTTGTAAAAGTTTTGTTTTATCAATAAGCCAATACTAATGACTAATGGGTTTTCAAAAACTTTCCATTTTTGAAAACTAATCCACCTCAACTTTAGTTTGATTTAGTGAGGGTTCATGGAAAATATTGAAAGATTTAAAAAGTAAATAGATTGGATTACAGTATTTGAATAAAGGTATGCTTTATTATATAGTAATGAACTTACCGTAAATACTGTAATAGTACCGCACTCCCCTCGTACAGTCGCGTAGTCGCAAAAGTTTTTTAGTATTTCATTTTTTTTCAAAGCGCCCGTACTTTCAAAAAATGTGTCTTTGGTATCAAAAAATAGCCCTGAATTTCAGCTATTTTTTGATACCTAAGCGAGCATTGTAGCATAAACCAGTGTCGAGAAACACTCGTTCAAAGCTAGACTACGCAACACTTCGCACCGTCATTATGGGGGTGGGGTACTATTACAGTATTTACGGTAAGTACTAAGTATAGTAGTGAAACTTTCAAACAACAGTACTAAATGCTTGACCCATTGTCTTCTTCAGACTCCATTTCCTACTCGAAAAAAAGAAAGACAAAGAGAAAGGCTTGGGTCAACAATGTGTGTGAAAGATCCTCTTCTTTTTCTCCTTCGAAAACAAAACGATCTCTTTTCTTTTCGACTATATTTTTTTGACCGTGGCTACGGATTTATTTTTAGCAAATACTTGAGCAGTTTTTATGAGAAAAATGGGGCAATAAGAGGAGTGGAAATGGAGAAAATGTGGATGTGGATGAAGCATGGAGAAAATGTGGATGTGGATGAAGCATGGAGAAAATGTGGATGTGGATGAAGCACAAGCAATGAAAAGAACTGCACAAGCAGTTCTTTAGAGCAGCAGCAGCTTTCTGAATCTTTTGATTTCATTGTTCTGATAGAATAGGACACTTATAATGATTTTCAAAGGCTATGCGAGAAGATTTTCAAGGACGAGTGCGTTAGAAGAGTGCTAAATTGCTTCACTTTTTTTATGTAGACGTCTAGAGCCTGATTTTCTTTAGTCAAAGTTCAAAGTCTAGGTGCATTTCCGCATTTGGAGCGCAAAGTACACCTATAATAGTAGAATGAAGAGAAGAATTGAAAACTTGACAACTTTGACTAAAGAAAATCAGGCTCTAGAGGTCTACATAAAAAAGTGAAGCTATTTAGCAGACTTCCAGACATTTAGCAGACGAATTTAGCAAATTTGGCTAGGATAAAAAGAAGAACTTGATGTTTTTGCAAGAAGCTTAATGATTTATCTTCGTGGATGTTCACCTATTTCTTGAATCTTTGAGAAAAATCTCTATGAAATCCGATATTTTATTAGCTCTTGATGGGAGGTTTTTTCGAAAAGTTGAAAGGAAAAGAAAGGAGATGAAAAAAGGGTTCAGGCTTTGAAATCGGTGGTTTAGTTTATTCCAAAGGGTTTTAAATTGTGCCTGTCTACCATAATCCAGTTAGATCTGTACCTAATTATAGCTACCGTAGTTGCTTAGTTGCTCCGTTGCTTAGTTGTCGTTACCGTACCATGTAAAGTTATTACAGTTGGTGTAAAGACTAGCATCAACTAACAACTAATTGAGATGCAGGTCTACAAATATCTGCAAAGATTAAACGTTAAAGAGATAAGCTGGGTTAGGGTAGCCGAATCGCTTTAGAGCGCCTACTCAAGTTGGTGTAGAAACAATAGTTGGTGTAGAAACAATTCAATTATTCAAGTTATTGTTATGGAAGCTATTCAGTACTTTTATTATTATTTTAGTACAGTACAAGTTATTCAGCTATTCGGTAGCTCAAGTGGGTTTTTAAAAACTAACTTTTCTTCAAAAATCGTTGGCAATAGTAGGAACAAATGAAGCATTGACCTCTGGCTGTTTCTTTATAAAAAATCACTGAAGTGTGTTATTCTAATTTGTCGGTAAGTGTGAAAGAAAAGAAGGTCATCGTGTGGAAATGTGAAAAAAGTGAAATATATTAGGTACATGCATAAGAAATGCGGATTTCAACATTTCCATAAATTTCCAACGATAGAAACCTGATATCGATGAATGTTATAATGTTATGTTGTTATAAACTGTTATAAACTGTTATAAACTGTTATAAACTGTTATAAACTGGTATAAACTGGTATAAACTGGTATAAACTGTTATAAACTGGTATAAACTGTTATAAACTGTTATAAACTGGTATAAACTGGTATAAACTGGTATAAACTGTTATAAACTGGTATAAACTGGTATAAACTGGTATAAACTGGTATAAACTGTTATAAACTGGTATAAACTGGTATAAACTGGTATAAACTGTTATAAACTGGTATAAACTGGTATAAACTGGTATAAACTGGTATAAACTGGTATAAACTGGTATAAACTGTTATAAACTGGTATAAACTGGTATAAACTGTTATAAACTGGTATAAACTGGTATAAACTGGTATAAACTGGTATAAACTGGTATAAACTGTTATAAACTGGTATAAACTGGTATAAACTGTTATAAACTGGTATAAACTGGTATAAACTGGTATAAACTGGTATAAACTGTTATAAACTGGTATAAACTGTTATAAACTGTTCTAAACTGTTAGAAACTATTATAAACTATTATAAACTATTATAAACTATTATAAACTATTATAAACTGTTATAAACTGTTCTAAACTGTTCTAAACTGTTCTAAACTGTTCTAAACTGTTAGAAACTGTTAGAAACTGTTAGAAACTGTTATAAACTATTTGAAAGTTGTAAATCTTCTCTACAAAATAGGCTAAAACGTGTTTCAATTGATCGAATTCCATCGAAGAAATTTCGAGGGCGAAATGCGAGTGACCAAAAAAGGAATCGAGTCACTTTAGGGACAAGTTTAGTGTCGTCAAAATAGAGTTAGCTTCCCAAAATTGAAGATTTAAAACAAAAAAGATAACTATATATGAATTCATTAAAAAAGTTTAACGAAAATGCATTCAAAGAAATTTAGATAGAGCGTAAGTTCAAAACCCTCAAAATTGTCAAAAAAAAACCGGCTTTTTCACAAAAAAGAAACATTATTGTAAAAACAAAGTTTTCCCATGATCCAAGTGGTGTCGACGAGCAGCTGATTCACTGTTTTAAGCCCGATAGCCCGATTCCTACAGGAATACAGTTACTCAGGGATGCACGAATCAAAAAAAGGTTGATGAGCTCCTGGATCCGCTTACTTGTTAATTATCTCTTTTAGATCAATCTATTTACCGTAAAAGCTGTAATAGTAGGGATGACTCATAAAGCTGAAATTTTGCAATCAAAAGAGATTTCGAAGAGATGACAAACGGAAAAATAAACGGTCCAAATGTTTTTTTTTGGGAAAACTTTGCTTTAGGGCAAGTTTATCATTTTCGTCTACAAGATAGTTAATTGTGGGTCCTCCTTGGCTACAAGTATCTCGCCTTCTCGTCTTCATGACGGAACAAGGCCTCGTGTGGCTCTTCGAATGGTTCGAGTATCAAAATACAGACGATGACGATGTGGTGCCTCTGCTTTTTCTTTTGCTGTTGCTTTTCGTTGTTGGCCGCTCTTCTCGAAATGCTCAGGTTAAAATTTTTATTATATTATTAAGATATTTTAAAAAGTTCCCCGAACTTCTAAATTTAAACCCTCATATAAAAATTAGAATCAAATCAAGTAAAGGGCTGCTTTTTTTTAAAATCTTAAATCAATCCTTTTATCATCTTTAAGTAAAAATGTTTACCGGGTACATTTTTTTATTAGTTTGCCTAATTTTAATTGAAATTTTCATTGATTATTTTTCAGAAGAGGTTTGAAGGAAAAGGAAGATTCTACGAAAAATCCGTCCATCCGAACACTGACAAATGCGAAAATAGACGTCAGCATAGGGTGGGATAGTTTATTCGCTTAGTTTATTTAGTTTATTTCGTTTATTTATTAAGCTTTACTCTTTGGTGATCTTTAGCGAGATTTCGAGAATCGAAGGCATTCATCCGACAAGAATTGCGACTGTCAGTCGTGTCTTCCTTCCGCATATCAACGCCAACATGTGCAGGTAATCTTTTGTTCATTCGCAGATTGAAAATTCGGCTCCAAATTTATGTAAAGTTGTGTACGTTCTCTTAAAATTAAGCGACGAAGCTTTGAATCAAATCAGCTTCCTAAGCTTACTCATTCCATGGGAGATCAATGCTCAAATACCTGTTTCATTTAGATGAGTTCTACAACAACTACAACAACTCATTAATGGACGTTCAACGAAGCACGAAAGCACCGCCACAATTATGGGCGACGAAAAGAAATTTGTGTGTATGTATTGGAAAATAAGTAAACTGTCTCACGTGCAAATGTATTAGTTTTATTGGCATCGATAGCTTGATCAATTTTTGTGTGATGGGGAGCAAATAACAACAAGTTACACCACAACTTGTTGTATTAAACAGTTTTGCAAATTCTCCAGAAATTGACTTTCTAGAAAATAACTAACGCTAGTTCCAAATTTCAAGAATTGCTGAAACAGTAAATGAATAAAATGCCCACTTTGAACAACCGTCATTCGCATCTATGCACATCGACGCTTTTTTTTTCAATTTGACGAATCATTCATTTCGAGGTGCTAGCAAAAGCGCCGCGTTAATTGCGCCAAAATCCTTCACGTCAATTTCATTTGTGCCACGTATCATTTGCGCCAAAAGTTTTGCCAAATTTGCGCTTCACAATGCTTCAAAATTTGCTTCAAATCACTTTTCCCCATTTTCTAACCAACTTTTTGTCATTTACCGCTTCACAATTTTAGTTTTCACTGTTTTTAATTAGAAAACACGTTTAAATACCTATACAGACCCCAAAAACAGTCATTTTTGTGTCCCCGATTGGCCTTTTTACTCTCTATATCGATCTTATGCCATTTTTTTAGATTCCGTGAAGGCGGCAAAATAGCAAGCAATCTTGAGTGGCGCAAATAATTTGGCGCTTTTGCTAGCACTTCTTCATTTCTCTACTTTTTCTGGACATTCGTCAGTCGTTTTTCTTTTCCCGATTTGATTCGCAACCTCTAGAAATGTTCAAGGTAAGTTTTTTTTAACTATTAGGTTGATGCAAAAGTCTTTTTCATTTTTTTCGTACTTCTTTTGAAAAATAACAAAGTCATCAATTAACCTATGGTTTGCTCTAAATGAAAAGTGTTTATTGTTCAATTTCCCATCTTTTTAAGTCAATTTGGGTTTACTTTCAAGCAAATTCGAGAGTGAAAACGGGTTTTTCATGAAAATCTATAAAAACCTCTATAAAGAAATTGGCTGAATCAATTTCTCTGAAAATCTGAAAAAATATCTAACTTTTTGTGCTCTATCTTTTATTTATTAACATCAAGATTGATTTCCTTAGCTAAAGCGTCTAAAATGCATCATCGAGCCGTCGCCTTTTTTGACTACCCGACTTCAGGCTCTCAAAAAAATCTAGACATAAGACATTTTAAACTCGTTTTAATGTCATTTTGCAGAAAAATAATTGGCCTTTCGAATGCAATAAACCGTTGTTCAATTGGTGCATTTGTTACTTTTTAACGGAAGTACGAAAAAAATGAAAAAGACTTTTGCATCAACCTAATAGTTATTCTTTTTCATAGTCACTTTTTGCTGTCTAATGGTAAACTGTAAAGATTTTAAAAAGAATCGTTAAATTTTGTGTAGAACCTCAAACGTTTTGATATTTTGCGTGAATTTGAAATTTATTCAATAACGAAATGTGGTCCATTACTTGTTTACTTAATTTATTTTTCTTTTTTTCAGTCATGGGATTTAATTTTGCGGTTGGCGTTTCTGTTGGTGATCATTTTGATGGCCTGTTTCATTTGTCTTCTTCTTTTGGCAATCTTAGAGGATCTGGACAGAATCAGGCAAGGAATTTCGTTTTGATTTAAGGTAATGCGGGAACTTGAGGACTTATTTAGCGTAAAAGTACTTGAAAACAGTGTTACATTGCATGTCACGTACACTATAGTATTGTTGATCAAGTCACCAGGAAAGTTGTGCTAGTAACTTCAAATCCTTCATTCTAGCACAAGCATTGTGTAAATAAACCTTTCAACATTGTTGCGTGTAAATAAAAACATATTAAATATTTTCATGTTGAGTGAAAGAAAGCTTGAATCTAGCATCTCTTTTTACATCAACTCTTACAGTTACAGTTGGTTTTAAAAACGTTGGATTAAGCTAAAATGCATTCCGTTACATAAAGATTTACTAAAGAAGTTTACTTTTTTAGGAAAAGTTTGAAGAAAAATGCAGAGATTCTACAAGAAATCGTCGTCAACACTAATTCCGATTCGGGCAGAAATGAACGGAGACCTAGAGTAAGCTTGTTTATTCAAGAATTTGTTGATCAGAAGAATTTTTAGTAAGATAAGGTACTAATTCTTTCGTTTGTTACCAATTAAAGCCATCGATAATCTTTAATTTTTAGCGAGAAATCGAGGATTGCTTGCAAGGAAACGCTGAGAATCTCGAGGTACTTTTTGTTTGGCTAAATGTTTGAAATCAAATGAATGAAATTTTTGCTTTTAAAATGATTAGCTTTGCGAATTTGCTACAAATTACTTTATTTCTGGTAATCAGATAGAGTTAAAAGGCAAATAGTTACCATAACATAGCGGGAAGTGGCATAACTAATAATGACGGATATCTTTACTCTCTTTACATAGTATCTTTAAATTTTTATTTTTTTCAGTTGAATCGTACTCCTCCGCCCACTTATCAAGAGACTTACAGAGAAACAGAAGCACCATAAAATAGTTGAAAGGAAACGCTAAAAGAAATTGTTTGTATACTTACTTGTGAATAAAAGTCTAATGCGTTATCGTTAACAAGATACACTATTGGGTCATACCAAAATGAAGGTAACGATAAAGAAATTTGATGAGAATGAAGTCACAAATAAAAATTGACACTGATAAATGAATGATTAGATAACTCAAGATACACTTTTTTATTGCTTCTAAATTCATTTTTCGATGCAATGCCCCAGACACCAGACACAATAATTCACTGGTGGTTTGCACTTCCATCCCGACAAACAGTCATCGTCTTCTTTGCATTTTCTCTGAAACTTGTAAAATCAATTTTTTTTTCCTGTTAGGGTATTATGAAGTTTACTAGGGAAAGGCACAAACTCAAGGTGAGCTTTTGTCTGGATATTTTTATAGAATCGGGTATGAGGAATGCGAATTCGGCCAAAATCAAAATCTGCCAAATGACTTTCCAGGCGTATAAAAATTCAATCGAAGGTTTGGTTGTTTTAGATGAATTTTGATGATTCAAAACGGATGCTTTAAAAGATTCCTTCTAACGGAAAAAGCCAATCTGCCAAAGAGCCAAAGAGCTAAATCAAAATCTGCCAATAATGCAATTAGCTGCAAAATGCTAGAAGTTACTCCAAAAGAAAAGCAAGAAGCCGCATCAGGGATCGAAACCTGATCGGAAGAGCAGGGAAGTCAAATGCATTATCCACTAGACCACCAACGAACCTTTTTGCTTCTAAGGAGCCTTTTAAAGCATCCGTTTTGATGCCAAACTTTCGATATGCCTGGACAAAAGGCATACAGCCGAAAGCTGAATCGTTCTGATATACCGTAATGAGAAATCATGCCGTAACTTCATATCATTTTTACCGTAAGACTTAACTAATCCCGTAAGACTTAGCTAATCCCGTAAGACTTAACACTCACATAATCTTTCAAGTGTCGTTTGGATTTCTTCGGTGCAGAGGTTGGCTAAACATTGAATCAGTTATAGCTGCGGTTTATAAGATAAACACTTTTGATATGGTCGATTGAATAAAACTGGAAGCAAAATTACGGTACTCGAGAAAGGGATACGTTTTAGAAAACGCATTAGTTGAAAGAGATGACCAAATAAAATATCTGATAATCATTCAAGCAGATCAATCAATCAAATCAATCAAATCAATCAAATCAATCAAATCAATCAAATCAATCAAATCAATCAAATCAATCAAATCAATCAAATCAATCAAATCAATCAAATCAATCAAATCAATCAAATCAATCAAATCAATCAAATCAATCAAATCAATCAAATCAATCAAATCAATCAAATCAATCAAATCAATCAAATCAATCAAATCAATCAAATCAATCAAATCAATCAAATCAATTAAAACCAACCTCATCCCGTTTTTTACAGTATCCCACACAGAGTTTGTTGTCCACTTCACATTTCTCCGGTGGCAAGTAGCAAAACTGGTCCGGTGTGCAGTAGGCAGCATGGAAAATGGAACATGATTTCTGAAAAATTTGATACATGCTTTTGTTGCTTACATTGCTTACCTTTCATTAATTTGAAAACTGTAAGCAATTCGCTTAATGATAAATTCGTTTTTTTTCTGAAACTCACTGGCCTTGCCTCAGCAGAAACCAAACCAAAGCCAAGAAAAGCCAAAAGTAGTAGAAATTTCATTTTTGGAGAAATGATATTTTGGAGAAATGATATTCTTGAGATCAATTTGTGTTTTAGAGCTTCAATAGTACTAGTGCTTGAGAATTAATGCAAAATCAAAAAAGTTTTTTTGAAACACAAACTTTCAGTTATCAACAAGGAGGTTATCAAGGACATCAACAGCAACAATACCAACAACAATATCAATATCGGCCTTGGAACCAGCGCCAGCCCTGTACTGAGTTTGTGTAAGTTGAAAGTTTTGATAAAAAGTAGGATTAGTGCTATATTTCAAATACTTTTACAATCTGTGTTGCACGACAAAGTCTACTGCTCTAGGCTTCTTTCCAGTCCGGCTTTTTACACGAAGTTTACTAGTTTAACCTAGCAAATAAAGATCCCAACTTAAACTAGAGACTCACACAATAAAATTTTATCTTTTACAAGTTTGAAGACACCACAAAACATGGTATTGGCAAGATTATAGTAGCTTTTGAAATTTGACACATTTTAGCTTTCAAATTCCCCTAATAATTGTAAGATCTTAGGCCAGCTGTCTACTCTTCGATTGCTTGCATTCTTTAGGTCCTCAAAGGTGACTAGGAAAGGTCACTGATTTGTCATCGACCCTAAAAACAAGACCCAACAGATCTATCGTAGACTGGTTTTTCAGCTTATTCAGTTTCTGCAATCTAAACCACTCCACGAGACTTCTATAAACCGTACTTCTCTCCTCTTGCTGACGCGAGGAATTTCTAGAGACAGACAAAGGAATACTTATTCTTTTCTCTCTCCGAAATTTCCCAATCTCTCCTCAGTCTATCGATTCAACCCCAGGATTGGATAAGAGAAGAAATTTCTGACTGCATCTCTCTCTTTTTCCAATATTTTCTAATTCCCAATCTTTTCCGTCTCTCATTTCCCTTGATCTTTTCCATTCTTCGATGTGGAAAACGCTCTCGTGTTTCTCGCATAAGCTTTCCCAGCCTTTATAATGTAGGAGTTTAAATTTTGAAAACTTTGTGCTTTCTTTAGTTCTTGTTGGTTGATTTGAAAGGGATGAGTTTAGGCTTTGATTCTTGTCCTAAATCAGGCTCCGTCTTTAGGCTTTTGTCTCTTGACGATGAATTTTGTTAGACTTACGAAAAGATACGAAAGTCCGTCTACCGTCTGACGAAATATTTCGAATTTCTGTCTGCCGATGGTTTTGAAAAATGTGGAGGCAAACTTGTTCCTGATTATGATTGATCTAAACTTTAGACAAAAATTTTAGCATTATTGCACTGATTTAGCAGTTAAGTATATTGAATTCCTACCAAAAAGTGATTGTTTTCTGAGTTTAAAACTTTACTCGTCTTTTAGATTTCGAAATTCTTTTAGATTAGCTTAGATTTTAGATTAGATCCAATCCTGAGGTTGAATCGATAAAATTAGAAATCGATGCACCAAAAGTGTATTGATTTCTGTAATTTTCGATCTTCAGAGAGATCTTTATTAGGTAAATAGGTAAATTGTTGAGTTACAAAGCAAAAATAGCAAAACAATAACCAAAACTTTGCTTGTCAACTCACTTGATTGATCATTGTTGATTAATCATTGTTGATTGATCATTGTTGATTGATCATTGTTGATTAGTCATTGTTGATTAATCAATCAATTCTTGATTAATCAATTTTTCCCTGCTCTCTCTCATCTAGAGGTGAAAGCGGATTCTTTTTTCTTTTTGATTGCCCGATCTAGCGTAAGCTCCTTTTTGCTTTGCTTCGTCAAAATCAAATCCTCTTTACAGCAAAAACAAAGATCCATTCGGTGTAAACCAAGAGCAAGAGAGTTGTAAATCTTGTCCCCATTCGTTGCTATGATATATTCTAGTCGTTTTTCTGAGATTTTTTTGGCCTAATTTCTTTTGCCATAGGGATTTACGCTGCAAAATCATTGCGAAACTAAAACTTTTTAGTTTCTAAGTTGTCCAATTGAAAGTTGTCTTTGTAAACGTATTTTGAACTTCAAAATCTAGAAACACACCCTTCCTAACGCACTCAAGCATCAGCTAAACACAAAATATTCAGTTTTTTTGAATACGTTCCCAATAACTGTTGATTGTTACAGTACAATAAGTTTGAGTACAATAAGTTTTTATTTTCTCTAATAGTAGTGCACCTTGGCGAGCCGAGTTGGTGACTATTTAACGATGGATCCGTTTACTTATTGTACTCACAGTATCCATGAATAGTTTCATGCAATTTTTTTGCAAATATTTTTTAATTTCTTGTTTCCCTAGTGAAAAGACCGTGAATTTCGTCATTGCTGTGTCGCTTCGGTTTTGAAAGAGTTTTGTTGAATCTGTTTGTTGAATCAGCATTGGGAATGGATTGGGAAATCTCCGATCAGTCGATTGCTTTCCAATCAGTCAATTCATTTCCAATCAATCAATTCATTTCCAATCAGTCAATTCATTTCCAATCAATCAATTGATTTAGCTTTCTAAAGCAAATTTAAAGTTCAGCACTGTTTTTAACAAAGTTATTCATTGTTTTTGCAAAAAAAAGTACAATACTTTCTAGCACAAATCAGTGTTTCCAATAACTGTTGATTGTTACCGTATTTTCTCTAATAGTAGTGCACCCCGGCGAGCCGACTATTCAACGATGTTGGTGACGATTCAACGATGGATCCGTTTACTTATTAATTATCTCTTTTAGATCAATCTATTTACCGTAAAAGATCGTAAAGATCAATCTATTATCAATCTATTTACCGTAAAAGCTGTAATAGTAGCCCCGGAGGCATTACTGCATTACTTAAAAGCCGTTAGACATTAAGGCATTACTTAAAAGCCGTTAGATAGTCGGTTTTCTAAACCGTGCCATCTTTAATTTAAATACTTTCGATTGCTATCGTAATCTTTCCTCGAGTTTTATCCAACTTGATCCAATTTGAAAAATTTAACAAAAGTTTTATCAAACGACGCTTTTGGATAGATCTTATGCTAGAAAATTGACTTTGCTATCGGTTTTTTTTCGCTTCCCAATCATCCACTTGACATCTGCCATCTCCTCGGGTTCACGGAAATCCTTGCACAATCTGCTGCAAGAAAAGAGATAAAGATTTCATTTCTCTCATCATCTTTATTGACTCATAGCTCATTTTCTAAGTTCTACTCTACTCTAGGCCTTTTCTCTTTCCTTTTTTAGTTCGGTGATCTCAACTTTTTGTTGACTACTCCATCCCTCCATCCCGCTATTACGAAAGTCCTTCATTTGATTTTTTTTTTGCTTTATTGACTCAAATTTCACCCTTCATATCTAATTTCATAAGTTTTTCAAGTTCGAGATTGTTTAATACTGGTTTCTTAAGTGCCATAGTTAAGTAGAATCTGTAATAATAAGTCTTGAATCAACAACTTAGGCTTAAAACTTTTATAAGCTTTCAGAACCAAGCCATTGAACTTACAGTATCTTCTAGATGTCAAGAACAGGTCGTAGAGCCGGGAAAATTACTGTATCAAACAATAAAAGATCTATCGATTGTCATATTGAGCCTGCTAAATCATATCTTGATACCCTAGCAAGCTAGAGTTTACCTTTTGATCAAAGCACTTTCAAAGCCTGAAAGAAAATACTGTAAACCGCCAGTTTTCTTTTAACTGACGGTTTACGTCAGTTAAAATTTAAGTCGTCAGTTAAGTCATTTAACCTCAGCCCAATTTTGATATCATTCGATGAAGCTCAGTCAATGAGACAAAAATTGGGCAATCGAGTGCAAACAAACGGTTGATTACGGTAGTTTCTGAAAATAGATTTCTTTTTAAACTTGATCAAGACATATCAATCTTTTCCCTCTTTCAACACGATCGGGATTTGTCGTTGCTTACGCGAGGAAACCTCCCCACCTCCCAGCGTGTCTCTTTTTTGTCCTCTCTCTTTCCCACCTGTCCATTTCCCATTCATTCCACTCCCTACTCTCACAAAGCAATTTTCCCGCCTATTCACCAGAATGCGAAGATTTTCGTAGATCTGGCTAAAGTTACTCAAAATATTTCGCCTCACTTTTCATTTGCCAATAAGCTCTCCGTTTAAGTTATAAGTTTCCAATAACCAAGTCTAAAAATCAGACTTTTGATTGGCTTCTCTGACAAGAGAAGGTGAACTGGCTGAGCCGGCAAATGTGAGTAAAACAAGTATCTCCAACAGTCTACTTGTACCAATCTCCAACAGTCTACTTGTACCAATCTCCAAAAGTCTACTTGTACCAATCTCCAAAAGTCTACTTGTACTTTGTGCTTGTGCTCAAAAACTCATAAACACACTTTTCCAGTGTACTGGATTGCTCTTGTAGTCAGTGAGACATAAGGCGAGGAATCCTCCCCACCTCCCAGCGTCTCTCCCAGCCTGAGCCTGAGCCTGAGCGAATCGAGTGCCCCAGAAAAGATCAGTGAGGCTGGAAAGCATAAAGTAGACTTAAAGAAACTAGCTTAGAATAGAAATTTTGAAAATTATTAGAATCAGATTGATTACGGTAACATTCTGGGCTTTAAAACTAAAAGCAGGGGAATCTTTTTCATAAACAAACTCTTCAAGACTACCAAATTAGCTCAAAAATCTTATCTGCAAACTATCGTAATTCCCAGAAGAAAATAGGCAATTTTTCTTTGAAAAACTCTATTCTTTTATGCAATTTTATTGGCTCAAATTTCCCCAATCTCTCTTTTTCTTTCAAAAGAAAATTTCTCCAAAAAAAAGGTTTTCTTGCATGAAAAATTTCTCGATTTTATTATCCATTCACCATTTCACTTGCTTTCTTTCATTTTATCATTGAATTTTTAATTTTCCAACTAATTTTCTCGATTTTCAGGGCGCCCAAAGGGCTTAACGAAGCCCCGCGTAGGGGATATCCCCCCTACAAATGAGGGCCCCCCCAGAGGCACCGGTGAGTTCATATTTTCGATATCTAACCTATATATAATTTGAAAATGTCAGTCTGTCCGTCTGTCCGATCAGCACTAGCGGGCGCAAAGGCGAGGTTTTCGGGAAACGGCGGAGATACGCGTCCCCGGAGATATCCCCCCCCCGAGATATACATCCCCGAGATACGCACCCTGTACGGCTTGCTGTGGCCAAATGGTTAGGGTGCTCGCACCGAGTGCGAGAGGTCAAGGGTTCGAGTCCGCCTCCGGTCAAATATCTTTTTTTTTCACCAAAGCTGAAATATCCTTTTTATAGCTCAAATAGGACCTTTTTAAGCAAAAAGGAGAGCTCCCAACTTTGTGCCACAAAACCCGCCATAGTATTAAAGTTAAGTACAGTACTGTATCTTTCTACAAGGCTTGTAGCTCAAAATTTACATTTTAAAAAAGTGAAACCAATCAAAATCAAAATTAATTAGGGTTTCGATGCCTTATGTTGGGTATAACGGTCCTTACTGTGCGTACTTTGTGCTTGAAAACGTGGAAACGCACTCTCTTCTAGCGCACTGAGTTTCTCTAGTTTTTATCCAGCATCCAGTATCCAGTATCCAGTTTTTATTCAGCTTTTATCCATAGAGAAACCAATGTGCCAGAAGGGCCGCGTTTACAGCCGCAGCCTAAAAGCCTTTCAGCCTACACAGGAATACGTCTGAATACGGAATTTGTACGTTTGGCCGCTAGCGCAAATCCCTTCTAGCACACTTAAATCTTCGCTTTTCCTCAAGAAAATGACGATTTCAGTGCACTAGAAGGGGTGTGTTTACAGTTTTCTGATGAGCACAAAGTGCACCGCCAAAAAATGGAGCTTGGCGCTGGGGGCCAAAGCGCCAAAATGGATTGGCGCCAATAAAAAGCAGCATTGGCGCTTTGCATTAATTTCACAAATTTGCATAGAAATTTCTTTTTAATTAAATTAAATTGATTCTGCAAAGGGTCAGTTGAAAATTTCTTCAAATTCTTCAAATTCCCTCAACCAATCCGATCAACCAATCCGATTTTAGGGTTCGGCTAGTTGACACTTGCGCGCTACTGGTCAAAGTAGAAAAGTGAGTTTGTTTTTTATAAGATATTCTTGTTTGTTTTATAAAATATATCTAAAATAAAAAAACTAATAGAAATAGATCTGATTTACATAGAAAAATCACTAAAAAAATCGCTAATTTCAAGCTAAAATCACTAAAAAAGCTACAGTACTGGACAATGAAATATTCTATTTGAAAAAACACTTTCGCACTTTCGCGCGTCTGTAACTCCCTTGTCTTTGAGTTTAAACTATTAGTGTTATACATTTTCTGAAAGCTTCTTTCAAGGGCTACACAATGGTAATATTAATATTTAGAAATACGGAAGAGACAAGGGAGTTACAGACGCGCGAAAGTGCGAAAGTGTTTTTTCAAATAGAATATTTCATTGTCCAGTAGTCTAGATGCTAGTAAAAGACTAACCCAAGAGTCGAACTAAAAAATGAGTCGAATAGAAGCTAGAGGCAAGATTACGGTAACCGATAATGATAATTAAGAAAGTTTAGCACGTTTTAGAAGCTTGAAGCTTTGCTTGAAGCTTAGTTTTAGAAGCTTTGCTTGAAGTTGATTAAACAAGTAATCACAGTGTACCAAAACCCTTTTTCTAAGATTTCTAAAATCTGCCAACCTTTTCTTTCTACTGTAATCTATCGTAATTTTATCCCTAGTTTCTACCTAAACTAACAACTTTTTGAATCTTTTGATATAAATGTAGATATACAGCACTGGACAATGAAATATGATATTTGAGAAACGATCGTCACTTTCGCGCGTCTGTAACTGATAGTAAGTAAAACAAAGTCAGCTATAGAAACTGAATGAAGCCCATAAGAGCTTAAAAGAGCCCAGCCCTATGATTCTAATGTACCGAGAGAATCTACAGTACTAGACAATGAAATATGATATTTGAAAAGCGATCGTCACTTTCGCGCGTCTGTAACTCCCTTGTCTTTGAGTTTAAACTATTAGTGTTATACATTTTCTGAAAGCTCTTTTCAAGGGCTACACAATGGTAATATTAATATTTAGAAATACGGTAAAGACAAGGGAGTTACCGACGCGCGAAAGTGCGAAAGTGTTTTTTAGAATATGATATTTCATTGTCCAGTAGTGTATACTCAAAAATCACCTCCAAAAATTTGATGCAAACTCATTGACATCTCGCTAAGCTAGACCCTCAAAAGTGATCGCCCTGAACAAAAGATTTATTGTTTAAAGGAAAAAGTATTGTTTAAAGGCTAAAATCACTAAAAAATCGCTAATTTCCCTTCAAATTTTATCGAAAAATTTTCAGATTTGTGTAATTTTTGGTTAGTGGAGCGCAAGTGTCACGGGTGGATTTGAAGAGACGAAAAAGGTACGGTAAATTTGAGGAAACTAAACTAAAAGAGGAAACTAATTCAATTCACATATGAGATTAGCATAAAGTTAGGCTTCGAGAAAGTTATGAACTCGTGAAATGAGCTTAGAATTTGAAAATTTGAAAATTTTCAACTTTCGCCGGTTTTCGTCGTTTTAACATCAAAAAGAGAGGTTTCAAAAGACGTCAAAAAGACGAAAATAAAACTGATATTAGCTGAATATCTAAACTTTAAAAGCTTAAATTATCTAGAAGCTAAAATTAGAGGAATTTTTGAAAATTGAGATCTCATGCTTGTGCTGGGGTTTAAAATGGACTTGGAAAATGCCACTTTAACTCGTTTCCTAGGATGATATCCATAGAGATATCATCCTAGGATCCTAGACAGCTCGTTTCCTAGGATGATATTCAGTTAACCAATAAGTTTACTGTACTTTAGCTTATCTTCTTTAGCTTTAGCTTATTCAGAAAGTTTACTGTAAACAAGGCTATAAAATTGCTAAGTTTAAAGAGTGTTTAACTTGAAACTGCGCAATTTTCGCTCTAGCCTCGTTTTCAGTACTTTCCTAGCTTTATCCCGTGAGAAGATACTCAGCCAATCAATGAGTTTAAAAAATCAATGAGCCAATCAATCAATGAGTACGTTTAAGTCGAATGAAGAAAAGTTACTGTAGGCTACTTTGGCTTTGAGCTTTTGATTAGCTAAAGAAAGTACTGCAAGCAAGCGTACTGCAAGCAAGCGTACTGTAAGCTATAGTACTGTAAGTACGTATAAGCTATAGTACTATAAGTTTTTAGCTAAAGAAAGTACTGTAAGCAAGGATATAAGCTAGTGAAAGTTTTCCGTTTTTGGTTGGACATTGGAGAAACGAGTAAACCGTCTTTGAAAAACAAAAGACTGGCTTTATTTCAGATTTAAAAGACTTAACTTCAGATTTAAAAGACTTACAATGCAGAATTTCGAACTTACAACTGAATATCTTTTCTTTTCAGAACGTTTTTCAACGTTCAACTCATCTGTACGGATACAGGGCGTTGAACTCATCTGTATCGGAATACAGATGAGTTCAACGTTTATGAGTTCAACGCTATGAGTTCAACGCCCTCATCCGCTACATCCACGCCATCATCCACTGCAGCCACTCCATCATCCGCTACAGCCACTCCATCATCCACTACAGCCACGCCATCATTCGCTACAGCCACGCCCTCATCCCTTACAGCCCTCTAAACTCGAGAAGCGAAAGCCTATGGTGAGTTGAAAGCAAACAAAACAATAGATTTATCTTAATACTTAATATTTTAAAATTTTCAGTTCTCAATGAGACACACCATCGCTACCACCCTGTCATCGCTGTCATCGACATTGCCACACCACCATCCCGCTATCGACAGCCGACCAGCACAAACACATTCGAAATCTTTCTCCGTGTCCGGCTCACAATTGACTATATTGCTGAGTTCTCTAGCAAGATATCTTTTCAGTTTAAGGTATTCAGTTCGAATTTGAGTTTGCAAAGATCTTTAGTCAAGATCCAACGTCAATATATTTAGCCAATAGTCAACTTTCGAAAAATATTCAATCAATTTGAATTTGAGAAAGAAAAGATATCGAGCTAGGGGAGAGCAGCGGCTCCGCATCGATCCTACGTCCACCCTTGGTTTGATTGCATACGTAATCACTCGCTAATCGTATCCCACTCCTATGTCACGTTCTGATCTAGGCCATATTGCTGACCCTCCCTGTACTCACTAGGGAACGTTGGCAGGTGCTCGTGACGAGACCAACTCCATCTTATAGCATCGACTACGCTGATTCCGAATTCGTTTTCAGTTTTTGTCCTCAATGCTTGTAACGCGAGATATCTGGGGTACAAGTCTTAGGTCTTACTTGAGTTCATTTTTGCAACGGAGCCAACTAGAGAGGTGCAAACGCCAAAGCTGCCGACTACGGGCCAAGGCTCGATCCGGGTTCGATCCCCTTCCAGGTTAAAAACCAAAAGAAATTGACCTCTTTTGGTTTTTAATCTGGAAGGGGATCGAACCCGGATCGAGCCTTTGGCCCCGTAGTCGGCAGCTTTGGCGCTGCACCTCTCTAGTTGGCTCCGTTGCAAAAATGAACTCAAGTAAGGAGGCCTAAAACTTGTACCCCAGATCTTTCGCGTCACAGGCCTTGAGGGCAAAAACTGAAAACGGTTTCGGAAGCAGCGTAGTCGATTGGATGAGATATGGAGTTGGTCTCGTTTTAAAAGATCATGGGCATCTGGCGATGTTCTCTAGTCAGGCTCAACCCGCTCCCGATCACCTACGTTGTCGTCAGGTTTCCCCCGCTCGCGGAAATCTGGAACTTTTGAAAATGCTAGCCATTTTCAGATATTCTAGATATCAGATTTTTCTTCAATTTTGGTGAGTTCCAAAGTTGCCCATAAGGCGCAACACAAAGCTGCTTAAGAGGCTGAGAAGAAGATAAAACCAAGAAGAAGATAAGATTTTGATAAAACCAAAGAAGATATCTAGATATCTAGTTTCTAAAAAGATATCTAGATAACAAAATTGTGATTCAATATCAAAATTCCTATCACTTTTGATAAGCCTAAAGCCCAGCCTCTCAAAGCATTCATCTCTCGGGCTCAGCCCCGTCACGTCGTTACCGTACTCAAGCGTGCGCCCGTCATTACCGTACGCAAGTGTACACCTGACCTATGCTACGCTACAGTATTCCTCACAGACTAAAATGTAAACTACTGGTAATATGCAAATTTTGGAGCTTTAAAAAGCTTTGGAATTTGCATTTATTTCTCAGGGACCCTTTAATAGTTTTTGATCTCTTTTTTTATCAATTTTGTAATGTAATTTTGTAGTTTTTAAGATTTTAAACTAAAATTAATAAAATTTCTATTTAAAAAAGTGCTTTTCGACATCAAAAGTTATCCAAAATGCACAAAAATCGAGCAGAGTCACAGATTTTGCCAAGTTTGACGAAAAAAAACAAAAAAACTGGCTTTAAACAAACAAAAATCGAAAGTTTTTGGTTTACTTTCCAATTGTTGATCCAATTGTTAAAACACTTCCAATTGTTGATCATTAGATGGGATTTCATAACAAAAACTCTCAAAAGAACAAGTAACTGATTTAGAAGAACTGAAAATGGAAAATGATGCATGGAAAATGAGTTTCCAAATATTTCCCGCTCACCAATATCCTTGAGTTGAGCATAGGTGAACGTCATGCACAACATCGTTTGCCCGTAATCGGTTCCCGAATCCGGATATTGATAGTGATCAGGTGGAGGGAATTTCGGTACCGAATGCACCAACCACACTCCCGTTTGACCATCGAAGAAGAGGGTGCCTGCAAATCTTGTTGTTGTTGTTGTCCTAGAGCTAACTTTAAACGTTTAAACTTTACAGAGACTTTTAAACTGTACAGAGCTTGTTTTAATGTAAAGAATGATGTAAAGGCTGAAAGAAATGTATTGAATGATGTACCCTTTGTGTGCCCAAATTGAACAGCAGCCAGCTCTGGTCGGTAGATTCGACTGTCGACTCGATTCGCCATTTGGGATGACATCGAAACGGTGCCATAGGGCTGAAAAGGATCGGGAATTTTCTTGGATTCGAATTGTTGATCGTTAGATGGGATTTCATAACAAAAACTCTCAAAAGAACAAGTAACTGATTTAGAAGAACTGAAAATCAAGGACAAACGAACAGGGAACAAGCAAAATGTTCTAAAATGCAAAAGAAAGTTCACTGTATTCACTCAGTTCACTAGAAAGTTCACTGTATCATTTAGTTATCATTTAGTTATCTCTCTATGCGTTTCCTAAAACATATCAAAAGTCAGACGTTTTCTAAAACATATCAACTGTAATCAAAGCTTACCAAATGTTAGCGCTTTCCAAAATCAAAATTTCACAGCACCAAAAAATGATAGGTTCCACCGAGATTCGAACTCGGGTCGCAGGATTCAAAGTCCTGAGTGCTAACCGCTACACCATGGAACCGTGGTTGGCGGCAGGGAAAAGAAGCAGATAAAGCTGACAGATTCATCAATGATTGACAGCCTGTTTCTTGAATTGTTTCTCTTGCCAATTCTGGTTTTTTGGAAGGAAGAAAAGGCTGAAATAATGGATTTGCAAAGCTGATAACAAAGAAAGCACACCAATTTCTAATTCTATACACTCTAGAAACCCATTGAATCATTCGCAGACAAAAAGTTTACAAAATGACTGATGATTTAATGCAAACTGATTGTTGATTTGATGTTGATTTAACTAATATTTATCTCAGTTTAGATTCTTGAGAGTTTCCATTCAAACTAGAGTTTAAAGATCAAGAGTTCTAAGCTTATATGCTTATTGAATCATTCACAGACAGAAAGTTTACAAAATGACCCCTGATTTAATGCAAACCGACTTTGATTTCATTAAGATTTACATTAACTTAGATTTTTGATAGTTTCCATTCAAATCAGAGTCTAAAAATCAAAAATTTCATCAAAGATTAGACGCTAAATGAACCCAAAAAGATCTGCCAAGAAATTTCCGAAAAAGCAAAAATGGTAGGTTCCACCGAGATTCGAACTCGGGTCGCAGGATTCAAAGTCCTGAGTGCTAACCGCTACACCATGGAACCGACGAGAGAGGAGGCGAAAAAGAGCACTTTATTTGTTGGCGGGAAAAGTTCCCGTTTCCGCGTCCTTTTCTGCTTTTTGAAGAGAATTTGGCGGAAATTTCGCGAAAATCTTTTAGAAATTGATTCCTTTTATAATTGATTTCTTTTATAATTGATTTCTTTTAGAAATTGATTCCTTTTATAAAAATTGTCTTCAACTAGGCAAAGTTTGGCATTTGTGGACATCAAAGAGAAGTATTTGAAAGGAAAATTTGGGGTTTTCGTTTTCCCTTGCGAGTTTAATCAAAGAAATTTCGAAATCTCATTCTAAATTATAGAAATTTCATTCTAAATTATAGAAATTTCATTCCTATAACTGATTTTTTGGGTAATTGTTTAAATTGGTTAAACTACTCGATTTTTCCGCCCTTTTATGCCCTTTTTTGCCAAATTTCTTTCATTTTTACCAAGCGAGCCCGGGCTTTTTTTTCGTTTTCAAAATCCCCTTGTGATTTTCCTTATCTTCTCAACCCCAGGGTTCACCAGGCCGGAATTCGAAAATTCTTTGATAGACTTTAGAGATTCGGCGAAAATGTGCTCAAAAATCATTTAAGCTTTTGAATTTTACTCGCTTTTCATTTTGAATTTTTTAAATTTAGGGTTTTGTTATGCAAAAAACTGTAGAGAAAAGCTGTGTACTAGAAAAGGTTTGCTTGCAAAAGACCAAAGTACGGACAGAGTTCTTTCACATTTATTTATTTATATTCATTTATAAATGTGAAAGAACTCTGTCCGTACTTTGGTCTTTTGCAAGCAAACCCTTTCTAGTACACAGCTTTTCTTTTCTTTGTCAGAGCGCAAATGACCTAGGACTGAAGTGTGCTAGAAAGTGTGCGTTTGTGCGAGCAAAAAGTACAGAAAGTAAAGAAAGTAAAGTACACTATTTGAGCTGGGCATTATTTTAGACTTTAATTTAAAATCTAATTTTAACATTAAAAAATTATTACAACTTTTGCTAGCACATAATTTTTTCTTTCTGACTTTGCTCGAGATAAATTTTGATTGCTTTTATATTGTTAATCGATGGCTTTCATATTGCTTTTACCGTATTTCTTCGAATAGAAGACCGGGTAAAGAGTATCATCACGTACTCCTGCGTAGCAGCCCTTTTTAAAATTTCTTTTCTGCATAAAAGCTTTTAATGAAGTGCTATAGGGCTGGAAAATGACCCAAAAATACCACATGAGCTAACAGATTTTTGAGCCATTTTCCAGCCCTATAGCACTTGATTGAAAGCTTTTATGCAGAAAAGAAATTTTAAAAAGGGCTGCTACGCAGGAGTACGCGATGATACTCTTTACCCGGTCTTCTATTCGAAGAAATACGGTATATTGCTAATCGATTGCTTTTCAAAAAACGTATTCTTTCAACTATGAAGCGATCGGCGGTGGCTACTTTCCGCGAAATTTTTTTGCGCAACTCGTAACTTTCCTCTAAGTAGGTCAATCCTTATCTTTTTGGTGTCATTTTGTAGATCTCAACAAGTTTAACAAAATGACAACAAAGGCATAAAGATTCGCTCACTTAGAAGAAAGTTATAGTTATGGCAAGTTGAGCAAAAGAATTTGGCGCAAAGTAGCGATCTTTTCCTTTAATTTTTCTCTTTTATAATCGAAATTTCTTTTCTTTTCAGGTAATGGGCCTTTCTCCGGTCATCGTTTTGCTCGTTCTTCCATCGATTTTTGCCTTTTCGTGCAAAGATCAAAACAATAAAGATGTCGATTGGTTTGCCGTCTACAAAATGCCGATTGAGAAGGGTTAGTGTTTGAATAGAAAAAGCATAAGTTAGCATAAGTTAAAAAGCATAAGCTAAAAAGCATAAGTTAGCATTATTTCGAAACAGTACTTTATTTTAAAAAGCTATTTGGTTGAGTACTTTGTGTTGGTATGGTATTTCCATTTTTCTCTGTAGTTTCCTCTGTAGAAAACAAGTAAAGGGCTATTTTAGTTACGGTTTTCAAATAAAAGGTTCTTCTTTTTTCTCATTTTAGATCTTTTTGAACGAATTTGGATAGATTTTGAGGAATATTTGAGCAGAAACAAGTGTTTTTAATCCGAAAATCCATTAAATCGTCAAAACAATAACGGCTTGACAAAGTAAGCTGAGATTTTGGTTATAATGGTAACTTTTTGGTGCTCTAACTTTTCTCTTATGACTTCAAAATAGGTTTCTTTGGGTTTCTTTGGCTAAAAGTGCTCAAATTGTATCATTCAGCCTTTTCTGCTTTTGATTCCTCAACTTTTTGCTCTTTGAAAATAGACAAAACGAAAGGATTTCCAAATGCGATAATCTAGAAGATCAGTAAAGCTAGAAGAGCTTTTAAACGGTAAAAACTTTAAGCTAATTGTAAGTGAATAGGTAAAACTGTAAGTTAATAAGTAAAAACGGTAAGTTAATAAGTAAAAACGGTAGGTTAATCTCTAGTTGTTTCTAAAAAGAGTAAGCCATATCAACACATAGTACACCTAATATAACACACTTTTTCCCAGTTTTCAGCAGCAAGGCAAAAAAAATGAAAGCTTTACCGGTGCTAGAAGTGGTGCTAAAAGTTAAATTTCTAAGCACAAACTACACAAAGCACAAACGAGAGTTGTGCTGTTGTGCAGTTATTGTGCTCTTGTGCAGTTATTGTTCTGAAGCTAGAGTTTAAGAATCGTTATGCTGTAGTGTACTCTTTGTTCAAAACCCTAAAAACATCCTTTCCGGTGCAGACAGTTTCCTCAAAGGAAATTGAAAACAAATCCAGTGCCCAGAAGGGATGCGTGTACGCTGATTGCACTTTAAATCACTACCTAACATGCCCATTTCTGATTTCCAGATAACACTGTGATCGACATTGCTCAAGGCCTTGCTTTCTACTATTTGGATGTAAACGACCCATCGCAACTCCGTCCATCAGCACAACCCCTAAACAGCACAAATCAAGCAATCGCCAACACGCTCAATCAATTCTACGCGGTGAAAGACGACAAGACAATCTTCCATGTGATGTTCAATGATGAGGTGAGTTGGAATGATGGCAACAAAGACAAATTGAACTATCAACTATCAAAAACTATCAAAAAAATCTCTAGATCTCTCTCAAAGCTTAAAGACTGTATTCAAGAAGCATTTAATCTTAGAATTGTTGATCTTTAGACTCTAGTTTGAATGGAAAAGCTCTTTTCATGCAAACTAAGGTAAATGTTAGTTAAATCAGCAGTCATTTTGCATTTGGATGTAAACTTTCTGTCTGTGAATGATTCAGAGACAAGTTTCTGTTTCTGGAGCGTTTCAGACAAGTTTCTAGAGTGTATAGAATTAGAAATTGGTGTGCTTTCTTTGTTATCAGCTTTGCAAATCCATTATCCCAGCCTTTCCTTCCTTTTTGTGCAAAAAAAAACCAGAATTGGCATGAGAAACAATTCAAGAAACAATCTGTCATTGATGAATCTGTCAGCTTTATCTGCTTCTTTTCCCTGCCGCCAACCACGGTTCCATGGTGTAGCGGTTAGCACTCAGGACTTTGAATCCTGCGACCCGAGTTCGAATCTCGGTGGAACCTATCTGTTTTTGTTTTTTCTGAAATTTTGACTTTGGAGAGCGCTAACATTTGGTAAACTTTGATTACGGTACTTTTGTTGATTGTTATTGATTTGTTGATACGGTAATGACGGTTTTTGACTGTTGATACGTTTTAGAAAACGCATAGAGGAAAAGTTTCGAATCCGAGAAAATTCCCGATCCTTTTCAGCCCTATGGCACCGTTTCGATGTCATCCCATGTGGCGAATCGAGTCGACAGTCGAATCTATCGACCAGAGCTGGCTGCTGTTCAATTTGGGCACACAAAGGGTACATCATTCATTACATTTCTTGGCCTTTACATTAAAACAAGCTCTGTACAGTTTAAAAGTCTCTGTAAAGTTTAAACGTTTAAAGTTAGCTCTAGGACAACAACAACAACAAGATTTGCAGGCACCCTCTTCTTCGATGGTCAAACGGGAGTGTGGTTGGTGCATTCGGTACCGAAATTCCCTCCACCTGATCACTATCAATATCCGGATTCGGGAACCGATTACGGGCAAACGATGTTGTGCATGACGTTCACCTATGCTCAACTCAAGGATATTGGTGAGTGGGAAATGTTTGGAAACTCATTTTCCATGAATTTTCCATGAATATTTCACACCACACATTTAGATAATACATTACAAAACTAAAACTTTCACCTCTTTATAGTAAAGCCAAAAAAAACAATACACGTCTTACAAAATTACATTAACTAGTATTAACTAGTGGTGATAATCCTCTATTGTGGTCAGCTTTGACTTGAGCGTGAACTAGCTTATTGTTCGTTGACTAGCGTGTTAGCTTGTTGGTAGCTTGTTGTTAGCTTCTTGTTCAAGGTTTTCTTGTAGTTTAAAGGCTTAGGCTTTAGGGCTAAAATTCCAAACGTCAAAACTTTTTAGGAACTCAACTTTTCTACAACCATCCCGACATCTACTCATCGAATCTTCCAACAAGCATGGCCTCCGCAAATCCCGATCTTGCTAATGTAAGCTAATAAGGAAATCTAAGAATTTTGAAAATCTGGTCTATTTATGAAGACTTATCCAAGTGAAATCTTTCAGCTGATCGCCGGAAAATTCCAATCAGGCGCCAACTCGCACTCATCAATAACACTCACGACAAAGGGCGGTCAACAGTTCAAATCTTTCGCTAAAACCGCCGACTTCAACGATGGTTATTGAAATTGCTTCTCTAGAAACAAGATTCTTTCAGATCTCTACCAAAAACTCTTGGCTCCTTCACTCCGAACTCCATTCATTGTGGAGAGCTGGAGAAGAGGAAGCGAAGTGCCGTTGACTTGCGGAGATCCATTCCCGGTCAATGATGCCTTGACGATTAAGGTAAATCCATTCCATTTCCCTAAAATTCATTCTCCCCAAAAAAACAAAAAGAATTGCCCACGGCTGGAATCGAACCAGCGTCGCCACGGCCACAACGTGGAGTACTAACCACTATACTACGTGGGCCGAGAGAGAGGGTCTAGAAAATTGGTGATAAGGGAGATGGAGGGAAATCCGTTGGCTGAAAAGTATAAATTATTGACTCGGAAAAGACTTTTGAAAGGTTTTTTTTATAAAATTTTACTTACTTTACTTTACTTTACAATTAGAATTAGTTTAGAAATAAAAATGCAACAGAAACTTCAATGTTTCGGCTTTTGATTACCTTTGCAAACTTTTCGATCTTACGAAACCAATATTTGACTTATTTGAAATGAACAATGAATAAATGATAAATGAACAATGAATTTATTTAGGTCGGCGAGTCCCTTGAATTCAAATACACGAAAGATCACAGCAAATTGGCCCGTTCAGCTCTTAAAACAAGCCCCTATGTGTGCATTGGAGACATCAACAGAATGGTAGAGTTCAAAAGTATCCTGACTAAACTTATTTGATAGCTTTGATAGCTTTGATTGGCTGATTAGCTAAATGATTAGCTAAATGATTAGCTAAAGGATTAGCTAAATGATTCCTTTTTGTGATTTACTCAATCATTTCAGACTTCACAATACGTGCGTGGCGGTGGCACGACTTGCATCAGTAACGACAAGATGTGGAATGCTTTCAACGTGATCACCACACAAAATCAATGCTAAGTGAACAGTAATAAATTATTAAACTCTGATACGAATGCAGAAAATCAAAATAAACAGTGAAACATGCCAGTTTGCAGTCCTGATTTTGAGGAATGTAGAAATTCAAAGAGAAAGCAAGTGTGGAAGAGAAAGCATAACTACAAATTTAAACCATACACTTTATTGATCAGCGTTTCCTTGGAAAAAGGGGATACTTCTTTAAAAAAAGGCGAATTGAAAATCTTTGATGTACGACAGATTATCATATAATGTAGATTAATAAAGTATTTGGCTAAAAATCTTAGTTTATACATTAACTCTAATATGACACCACGGTGAAGAGAAGAAAGTTTTAATTTTATGCCAAAAATCTCATGGTGGTGGCCCATTTGGTGGTGGTGACCATGGTGATATGGGAAAAAAATTTTTCCACTAGTATCTACTAGTAGATACTAGTAGATACTACTAGTGTATCTACTGGTTTCCATAAATATTGAACACCCTGTACAACAACAACGAGTCAGCCTGGAACAACTCGCGAATTTGGGTCGTCGACCGGATCAATAACAATAGACCAGGCAAGGTCAGAAGCTAGGCTGAATCCGACTCTGGCTCCGACTCTGGCTTATCTTGCCTGGCCACAGTCAACAAATTTTAGCAAGTTGATATATGGTTGATGGTTGATGATGACCGGTGATCCTTTAATTGCACAGGTGGTGGTGGATGATGTGCATGTGCAGGGTTTCTGAAAACGACTAACGATTGTTAAACCAAAATTTAACTACAAATCAGGGATGAACCTGATTTCTTGATCCGTCGGCTAGTATGTGCTTATACAGTACTGTATTGTGTGATGTGATATGTCCAGTCCACTCACTAATACAGTACTTTATACAGTACTGTATTGTACTGGATGTGATATTTACTGTCCTAATATTAGGTGAATGTGAATGTGATATTTACTGTCCAGTCTACTCACTAATACAGTACTCTACAATACATTATGCTTAATAGTGCAGTAGAATGGCTTTAACTTGTTGATCCTGGACCTCTTGTTACAGTGCAGCTCTTGTTTTGGTTTGCAACAAACCGTAAAATAATAGAAATGACGGCATGTCGATAGGGTTCGTTGACAGTGATCAAGAAAAGTGATGAGATAAATCCATGTGTGCAAAGGACGCCAAAGAGAAAATTGTTGTGAGCTAAGATTCAGGGCTTAGATTAGAGTGGGCTAAGATTCTAAGAGCTAAGAGCGAAGCTAAGATTCAGGGCTTAGATTAGAGTGCTTTTTCTAAAAGGTAACTACATGCATTAGGTACATGCATAAGAAATGCAAATGAACTTTGAAATCTTGTATCTCATCATATTTTCAACATTTTTAGCTAATTCTTTTTGCATTTTTTAGCCACTTTTGACTAGTTTCTATTGCTTTTTAATTGATATTTTTTGCTTCAACACTTTTTGTATTAGAGATGGAGGACCTCAAGGATCGCGTTTGTGTATGTATTCTCTACGATTTCAAGCTGGGAAAGAGCGCTGTTGAATACCATAAAAGCTCGCCTCTGTCTTTAAATCAGACATTATATCTGAAAATGAATGCGGCCGATGATTTATAAAGTTCCGCAACGGTAGCGAGGATCTACATGACGTCATCAATGGTGAGAGGATGATGACGAAGAACATGGTCACCTCTGACCATTGATGACGACGATTTACGCCAAAAATTGGAGAAAATCCACGTTTTACTGGTAGTGCAAAATAAAAAGTCGTCTCCTGGGTGTTCCTTTAAAGTTCCTTTATAGTTCCTTTATAGTTTCCTTTAGAGTTTGCGAAATTATACGATTAAAGTTGTAAATAATAAGTGGATTGAAGTTGGAAATGAATTGTTAAATAGCTTTTTTGATCAAAATCCGCATTTCTTATGCATATACCTAATACTTTCTAAAACTTTTCATAATCAAATTGCCACTTTTCACCTGATCAGCCGAACTTTAGTGTCATTGACTGAGTCTTGTGATTCCTCGTCGAATGATACCAAAATTGGGCTGATCTAATGTAAACTGGCGGTTTGTTTACTGTGTTTTCAAAGAGGTATCTTTTAAAAATCATTAGCTGAAATCAAAATGTTCTGGCTTATTTACGACAACCTAGAACATAAAACACTAAAGGAAAAGTCATACTTGCATTCGAAATCGAGCTGAAAACAAGCGTCGAACCAAAATAAATCCACGGACATCCAAGGATTAGCACTGGAATCGACAACTGGAAACAAAAATTTGCATTTGGCTCAAGCATTTCACCTGTAAGCACAAAGTGATTAGGAATTTCTTTTGCATTTTCCTCCGATGCTCACTGATGAATCGATTCGAGTGACGCAAAATGTAGAACGAGTGAGTGATGCAGATTAGATCCTATTGAGATCAAGAAATTGATTCAATAGAGCATTCCTTACCGTGCCAACACAGAAAGTGACAACATAAAAGACATAGTAGGCAAAAATCGCTAATGCTGGTAGGCCAACTCCGGGAATCGGATCCATCGTCGCTGCGTAGAAGTACGGAAAATCGGAAAGCAAGTAAAGACATGGATATTTCTAAAGAATCAAGAATGATAACCAAAAAAACTCTAATTGAAGCCCATTCTAATTGAAGCCTCTCTAACAAACCTACTTTTCCGGCTGATTTTAGAGATTTGAAAAATACAAGCCCATGGGCTTCTTAGAGTTTTTACGATAGCTTGCCTGTGAACGATACATTTTACGATATCTTTCCTGTAACTAGCTTGAAGGTTTAAATTGAAAGCAGTTAAGTTCTTTGCTTTTAAATGGCCAATCTACTGACTTATTGGGTCTGTAACAAATCAAAATACTTTACTAACCTGAAAAAGCACCAACATCGCATGCGAGGTTTTCCCCGACTCAGCCGGAAACAATTCAATGATCAACACAATCAATGAACCGTGAACAGTGTACATGAAGATCATCAACACAATCCAAGTCTTTGATTCGACTCTAAAAGTTTAAAAATTGAAACTAAAGTCGGTTCACTACTTCATGCGATAATCGTTGTTCATGAGTTTTTGGTGTTTGAAACTGAATAGTTGAGTGACGGCGAGATTTGTGATCACCGTCAATAAGCCTCCAAGTGACTGAAAAGGATTGGGGAAGTATTTTTTCGATTCTGGGACATTTGATACGCGTCCTGCCGCCTTTGCCATTGGCAATCCAACTTTAAGCTCAAATATCTTGGTGTTGGGCTGTCCAATTTAAATAGTTTTTGTACCAATCGATAGAGAAAGACTTGGCACATCTAATGATACCAAGAGGATTTAAATTGGACAGTCCAACACCAAGAAATTTGAGCTCAAAGTTAGATTGTCATTGGCAAAGGGGTCGGGTCAGAAAGACCTTTTATACGCGCCGGCCCCTTAGCCATTGGCAATCTAACTTTGAACTCAACCATCTTGGTGTTGGGCTGTCCAATTCAAATAGTTTTTGTACCAATCGATAGAGAAAGACTTGGCGCATCTAATGATACCAAAAAGATTGAAATTTAACAGCTCAAAGCCGAGATATTTGAGCTCAAACTTAGAATGCCAATGGCAAAGGGGCGGAGTCATTGTGGGACCTTTTATACGCGCGTATAAAATGTCCGATAACCAGATTTGAATACAAGAGTCCTTGCCGTTGGATCAAAATCTAGAAGAACCCAAATAACTGTTCACTCAGCTCACTATTGGTTTGTAATCATTTACCCGATTTTAGTTTGACAAAGATATCGATTTGTACAAAAACTATTCAAATTGGACAGTCCAACACCAAGAAATTTGAGCTCAAACTTAGAATGCCAATGGCAAAGCGAATGAACTGTCCGATAACCTTTTTTCAAAGCCAAGTTAACTCACAAATCCTTGTTTGACTCCAAAATTGAATACAGTGTCCCATGGGCCGAGTATTCGGCCGGCGAGTGCAGAAAAATAGAGCTCTGGAGATAGTAAAAACAAAGTGACTTCTAGTAGCATAGAGATGCTCTGAAAAGTTATGAAAATATTGAGAAAAGCGAAAATATAGTGATTTGTAAAGATACTAAAGCATTTCAATGAGTAAATGTGCTTTCTAAATTCTCTAAAACTTGAAAAGCTCTTCTAAAAGGTGGGTAATTTGGAAAGCTAACGTAGCCTTTCGTCAGTTTTTCGTTTCGCCATTAATCTCATATCGTAGGTGATGAAAATCATAATTTCCCAATGTTTTAAAGTTTTAAATTCTCCGTTAGGACTGATGTGATAGCTTGTAAAATCGATTTTTAATCCGAGAACTCGAATTTTTTGAATAACAACATGATATTTCTTTGGAACTAGGCTTGTAACGAAGCCAATTCCAGTTGAATCCGTTGAGCTGACTGGACTTAAAGGGAAGAACTTTACCGAGCTTATCAAACTCACTTTACCTACCGTAAATACTGTAATAGTATCCCAGCCCCATAATGACGGTGCGGAGTGTTGCGTAGTCTAGCTTTGAACGAGTTTTTCTCTACACTGGTTTATGCTACAATGCGCGCTTAGATATCAAAAAAATAGCTGAAATTCAGGGCTATTTTTTGATACCAAAGACGCATTTTTTGAAAGTACGGGCGCTTTGAAAAAAATGAAATACTAAAAAGCTTTTGCGACTACGCGACTGTACGAGAGGGGTGGGGTACTATTACAGTATTTACGGTACCCATTTTTCTCTAAAACTCACTTGATAGATCAACAAATGCACTTTGAAATCTTTCATTTGAATCGGCGATCGATAAACGATCAAATAAAGAGCAAAGAAGCCCAACGGAATGCTCAAAAATGAAAGAGTTTTCACGTAAAGTAGATAAAAACTCGGATTCTCGTAGGTGCATCCAGTTAGATTATATTGATTGGACATTTTTCTTATTGAATATTTTGTTGTAAAGATACTTTTGATTCGCCGAACCTTTTTTGGGAACAGGTGAAAATTAACCTTTCTGTTTGGGTGAAATCTGAATTTTTAAGCGCTAATCAACTCCGTTTTTTGCCCAAATGTTTCAGAGGACAAAAATCTCAAGATATTCTTGGAATTCGGAGATTTTAGTGCTGATTTGTACTTAATTTGCACTGTCATGAGAATTTGGTTCGTGCCTGCGCCCAAATGTGTGAGTCTGATGCAAATTTGGTCTAGCAATGAATAGTTTGCCAAAGTTCGATAATTTCACTTCTATGATTGCTTAGCTGAGATACTCGTATTGAGTTGCACCAGCCGGTTTCACCAGCTGACAAGGAGCTCATTCTCGACGTCAGACAATTCACCAAACTTTGCCTTGCCAAATGAGTACATGCTCTTTTGCATATCGATCAGATTTCGATATTTTAGTGATGAACAAGGAGGGGCTCAAAATGGAACCGGCGCTTGTGGCTCTTGTGCTCTTGTGTAGTTCCCAGGTATTTTTCGGCTCTTGCGTGGTTCCCAGGTATTTTGAACGGATCCTCACGCTTTGAGGACTCAGAACTTTGTCAGCACACTCTGAAATTCGTTGGCAAATTGGAGAGATTTCATTGAATCATTGATTTCATTGATTTCCTTTGAAATCTTTACAATTCCTTTACACATTTTCGAGATATTCTTGGAATTCTGAGATTTTAGTGCTGATTTGTACTTAATTTGCTCTAAATTCGACTCTACTTTTGAACTGACAAAAGAATGACCTCAGTATGAGGAGTTTGTGAATCGTTCATGACTCTTTCAGAGTGAGCTAGGTTGATCGTCACCGGTCATTTCAAGTGATGA